ATGCCATCACACAATGAGAGTTCACACATTTTTCAACTACCAATTCGAATCGAGCAGCAACAGAGATTATGGATGATAAAGCATTGATTGATCTTATGAGCTGTAAAGAAGAGTTTTCAAACGGAGCATTTTTTGTAATCGTTACTTTGATACAAGACCAATACTGCCTATCATGAAACTGCCGGCAGGAAGGTTGGTGTTTTTATTGAATAGACAGTACCATAGAAAAAATAAAAAATGAAAAGAATTTCTATTTAGAAAGTCTAGATTACTTCAAAGTTGCAGGTTTTTTCGGAGACCAATGTTAGATATGGATTACTGTAGTGTCCTCGTTTGCCAAATGGATATGATGTTAATATCAAACGTATCGCTTCTTGATTTTTTTTCTTGTTTTCTACCATTCCTTATTTATTTGACGCATTACATTTTTCTCAAGTAGTAACTTTCTGTGTCGAATAATGCTGGATCAAAACCTTTGTAATACTGAAACTTTTTGACAGTTACGACTCGAGTCTCTACATTCTGTTTTCTTTAATTTAAGTATAAGTTATTATAGCTGATAGTATAGGTTATTATAGCTGATAATAGCTGATAATAGATAATTACGTTCCATGTACCTGTATTTTGTACGGTCTCCCGTCTTTTCCCACAATGGGGTACGGTCCCAGTCCTCACAGAATAATCAACTGTCGTCATATGTGAGACACCGTCTGCAAACACCATGCTTTTCATCACACATTTCGGCATGACTCACTCGCATCACTCGTTTGCTTTCATAGCTTTCTTGCGAAATTTGTTTATATTTAAACCCCTTTTTTGCACATTTGAAGCTTTCAGAAACACTAATTCCGAAGACTTAATCATGGGTGCCGGAGAAAGCAGCATGGCTCTCGAAAGTGAGTTTTAATTTGTGCATCCTCTGGAACACAATATGTTTTCAGAACATCTTTTCGATTTGAAATTCGCTGCTAAGCAATTAGAGAAGAATGCTCAAAGGTGCGAAAAAGAAGAAAAAGTCGAGAAGGATAAGTTGACTGCAGCAATCAAGGTGAGTGATGTTTCTGATGCGTTGGTTTTTATATTCGAATTTGAAAAAAACCACCAAAATCATCTAACTCAACTATGTATTAATAAAAAATTATCGTAATATTTTCTTTATTGTAGAAAGGAAATAAAGAAGTCGCACAAGTGCATGCCGAAAATGCCATCAGAAAGAAGAATGAAGCTGTCAACTACATCAAAATGGCTGCCAGAATCGATGCCGTTGCTGCAAGAGTTCAGACAGCGGCAACTCAGAAACGAGTCACCGCCAGTATGAGTGGAGTTGTGAAAGCAATGGAAAGTGCAATGAAGAGCATGAATCTGGAGAAAGTACAACAGTTGATGGATCGTTTCGAGAGAGATTTCGAGGATCTCGATGTTACAACAAAAACAATGGAGAAAACGATGGATGGAACTACAGTTCTCAATGCTCCAAAATCACAAGTGGACGCGCTCATAGCAGAGGCTGCCGACAAGGCCGGGTTGGTTTTTATTTCCTCTTCTGGCTTTATCATCACTATTTTTCAGAATCGAGTTGAACCAAGAATTGCCATCAAACGTGCCAACTGCTCTACCAACCGGAACACAAGCTGTCTCAGAAGACAAAGATTTAACGGAACGACTCGCAGCTCTCCGAAATATGTGATGATGTTATCTCATACTTCTTTTTGTGAATACTCATTTGCTACAACGGTTTAATTCATTTTTCATTAGCAAAGCTACTCGATTTTACCTGCTTGACTTGTTTTGTATATACAATATAAATGAAACCATTTCTTTTTACCAATTGATCACATGTTATTTCGATATACTTTCGAAAATGTATTACTCTTCTGAAACGATATTTCTATTCATGAACTCTAATCAGTATCGATAGATCACTGTTGTTGTGTGTAGTCCACCATTGTTTTAGTCTCTCGCCGCCCGCGTTTTCTCTATCTGCTAACTCGTTCTCCCTGGGTTTCTTCTTTTCACATGCTACATTCATTCTGCTTATCTTTTCTCACTCTTATTCTTTTAACATCGGCCCATAGAAATTCTTGTATCCAAAAACAAGCATTCACTGGTCAATTGTTACACCACCTACTTTAACGTTTACGTGAAGATTTTCGCCACGTCAAATGCTTAAACTACGCATCCATCTGGCACAGTTTCTCTTTCCCAAGGGATTAGAAGTTGAAATACGATCTATGAAATGTGTACTTTGACCCCATTCTTTTCTCTCCAGTGATCTCATTCGCCTTTCATATTTTCCTCTATTCCAAATTCTTTTTTTCAGCTGAAACATGAAGATCCTTGTCGGAGTCAAGAGAGTGGTTGATTATGCCGTTAAGGTAATTGAATGTAAAAACTGAATTATTCTAACAAGATGTCTTTTCAGATTCGCGTTAAGCCGGACCGATCCGGAGTGTTCACTGAAGGTGTCCAACACAGTATGAATCCATTCGACGAGATTGCCCTCGAGGAAGCTGTGAAGCTGAAGGAGAAGAAGCTGGCTACTGAAGTAGTTGCTTTTTCGCTGGGAGGACCAAAATCTGCTGAAGTGCTCAGAACAGCTCTTGCTAAAGGAGCTGACAAAGCTATTCATGTTCAAGTCTCTGACGACGAAGCCGGAAAATTGGAGTCGTTCCACGTCGCAAAGACCCTCCAGAAGATTGTCGAACAAGAGAAGTTTGACGCAGTCTTCCTTGGAAAGCAGGCTATTGATGACGATTCTTCCCAAACCGCTCCAATCCTTGCTGGTCTCCTCGATTGGCCACAAGCACTCTATGCTTCGAAAGTTGAAGAAGGAGGTTCTGGACACATGAAAGTGACCAGAGAAATTGATGTAGGACTTGATACCATTAAGGTGACCTAAATTTCTTTCCTCCTTTAAATAAACCAAAAATGTTCAGGTAAAAGTTCCATTCGTCTTGTCGGCAGATCTCCGTCTCAACGAGCCACGTTACGCAACTCTCCCAAACATCATGAAAGCTAAGAAGAAGCCACTTAAGAATATCCCAATCAAGGATCTTGGTGTTGACATCACCCCACAAACTGAGACAGTCGAAGTTACAGAGCCACCAGTTCGCAAGGCCGGAGGATTCGTCGAAGATGTTTCCGCTCTTGTCGCCAAGCTGAAGGAGAAGGGATTCGTCAAGGCTTAAACGCATTTTTCTTTTCTGTTCTATGTAGTCGATCCAGTGAATTGTATTTAACTTATTTTTAAATGTTTTATGTGATGCAGGTAAAAGTTCGAATTTAAAAAGTCGTTTTTTGTTATTTAGAACATATATTCAAAGAAGTGAATAACTTGATCGTGATACAGTCAAAAATCGGAATGCATTGTTGACGACTCCGTGTGAAAATTGATGAAGATAAAGCTGTAATGAGAAAAAAATAAGTTGAAATAGTGAAATCAAATTTGTACCAGTCTTGTTTGAGCATTGCAGTGTGGGCATATAGTTTTGGAAGGTGAAGTATCAAAGGATTCATATTTTGGAAATCTTTGACGAAAAGAAGAAACTCCAACGTGAGCTTCATCGTTACAACGGAATACTTCTGCCGATTTAGAAGACGTCAGACGTACAGTTGCTCTTCCTGATACGACGTGTCTTGTCTGTTCTCTTTGTTCATTGCACATTGATAACCTCGCTTGTCTCCTGCGTCTCAACATCACATTCTCTCCGTCTGCTCTTCTTTCCACAGTCAGTGTTAAGGAATCCGTGCGATTCATCCAAAACCGGAAGATACTCGCTGCTTGATCAGCTGATACAGCTCGTAATGATATCTTATTACATCGGAGAAGTTTGTCGCCCTCTCGTAGAAGTTTACTCTGCAAATTACCAATAAGAGATGTGGAAGAGAAACACCGGTGGCCGTGCCCGAAGGACCCACAACGACAAATACACCAAAAAATTAGGTTACGGTAGTTATCGTTGTGGGACCTTCCGAAGCCGTTTCTCTTCTCTTCAGCTCCAGTTTTCTTTAAATTTAGCAATAAAGCAAAATTTGGAATTTCAGAAGTTTGTCCCTATTCAGTCACAAACAGAAAAAGTAAGAACTGTGGGTAAAATGAAAATTTGGCTGGAATTTCAGACAAAATGTTCAAAGTCGATATTTTGATCTCAAATTTTTGCAATATGTTCCCTATAGTTTTCTCCAGTTTTCCCCAAAGTTTCAGCCAGATTGGTTCATTCTCCGACTATCCTTTTGTGCCATTTTACCGGGTTTTTTGCCTCACCTGAATAACTCTCCCTAAATAAATTATGACTTGGGTAAGGCTTGTAAACCCAAAAAAAAAGAGGAAAAGAAGAACTGGTCATTGCATGTACCCTTATTCAGTTTGGACATGCTGAGCCCAATTACTCATGCAAGAACCCACTAAATTTTTACTACTTCTTTCTTTTTACTAGGAGAAAAAAGAGAGACTGGAAGGAGAAGAATAGATATTTGGACCAAATGTTGGAATTATAGGTTCGAGGAGCACGTACAGTGGCGAACGTTAGTGAGTGTCACTCTATACTTTTGTTCATAACTTTTCTCAAACTTATCCAATCATTGAAAACTTTCTTGTTAAATGTAGCTGGGTTTCCAACAAAACGTTGTATAAGTTTTTGGAACTCAATCAATTTTCGTGTTTTCTGAATCTTGACAGACGTGACGATGACTCCAGATGAAAAAATTTTCCGTCAGAATTTTTTTAAAGATTGGCTTTGTGATGAAAAATGTTTCGTGTAGATCAAATATATACCAAAAAAAATTTAAGGCGGTTTGGAACATTTTCTATTGAGATGTGCTCACTGGAGCATAAATGGTGTGGTTTTGGAGTTTGGCTATAACTCGGCTCAAAATTATCCAAATTTGTTCAAGTTTTGAGAAAATGTGTGTCTTAAACTGCTCTACAACATATATACAAAACTTTGTATTTTGGGAACAAAATTTTTTCATAATTTTTTCATTTTTAAGTACCGAAGACAAGCTATGTATTATGGAAAAAATTTCTTGTTCCCAAAACACAAAGTTTTGTACGTTTGGATAATTTTGAGCCGAGTTATAGCCAAACTCCAGAACCATACCTTTTATGCTCCAGTGAGCACATCTCAAGAGCAAGTGTTCCAAACCGCCTCAAATTTTTCTTGGTACATATTTGATCTACACGAAACATTTTTCATCACAAAGCCAATCTTTTAAAAAATTCTGACGAAAAACTTTTTTTTTCATCTGGAGTCATCGTCACGTCTGTCAAGATTCAGAAGACACGAAAATTGATTGAGTTCCAAAAACTTATACAACGTTTTGTTGGAAACCCAGCTACATTTAACAAGAAAGTTTTCAATGATTGGATAAGTTTGAGAAAAGTTATGAACAAAAGTATAGAGTGACACTCACTAACGTTCGCCACTGTACCTGTGGAGAATCGGAATGAACATAATCTATGAATATGCCACGACTTCTACTTCCAACCATTCGAAACGCCATCCCATTTGGCTGATCTTGGTCCCTTGGAATGTTTACCTGAAAATCGTCATGTCCTTTTTCATGTTTTCCCATTCATCCTCTTTTTTCTATCATCTGAATTTTCTCATGCTCGTGGGGGACGACTAAAATGTTGCTCTTTTCCCGTATTCTGACTAATTGAAGAAACGAAACGAGATGACATAAAATAAAGACGCCCCACGCTGTCACTTCCATTCGGAAACAAAAAAGGAAAACGAAGGAGAAGAAGTAGACGGAGAAAAAGGAATTCTAATAAAAGCAACAAAACGTTTTTTATGGCTTGGAGCTTACCTCCAGTGTCTCCTTCTCAACGTCTTCTGCTTTTTTGACACCAGTATCTTCTGAAAAACCAGGAATCTCGTCGTCGAATTCATCATCGAATGACGTGGCAGTGTTCTCATAGGCAGATGCTGATCTTGGGAACCTACTCGTAGTCAGCATCTGAAAGAGTTAACTAGGTGATTGCGAACTTGGAAAAGTTTATACGCAAAAGAAAATAAAAAGGTTACAAAATTCAACCGGAGGAAAAAAATATAAAAATTGGAATATCAGAAAATCTTCAACTACAAGAAGAGCATACCGTGTTCTCTCTAATAGAAGCCCACCCAAACCGTTAAACTCAATAATCTCGATTCCGGTGAAAGATATCAAAAAAACTGTCAACTGAAAAAAAGTTCATCATAATATCACCAATATTTTATCACTTGACAAATGTTCGACACCTTACACAGGAATCAAGATAATTGAGCCCAAAGTGGACAGTTTGGGTGGGCTTCTATTAGAGGAAATACGGTATACATATATTATTCGAGTACAAAAAATCAGATCTGTGGAAGAGAAACACCAGTGGCCGTGGCCGGAGGTCCCACAGCGACAACTACCGTAACCTAAAATTGTTTCATTTTCCGGATTTATTTTCTCATTTTTCACTTTTCTGTTTCCCCCCAAACACGTCGGAAAACTGAAGGTTTCGGAAGTAAAAAATTGACTTATAACTTAAGGAAATCGAGAAAATAAATTCAGAGAATAAACGTATTTTTGGGTTACTGTAGTTGTCGTTGTGGGACCTTCAGCTTTTTTCACAGCTCCGATTTTTTGTACCAGAATGGTACACAAAAAATAAAAAATCTATAACAATCAACCATCAACCAGAGGAAAAGGATATAGAAATTGGAAGATCAGAAAATTTCAGACTACAAAAAGTGAATACATAGCTACAGTAGATGAGACAAGAAATCTTTATATGTTTTAAAAATTATCCATAGTTCACAGCTTCTTGGAATCATCAGATTTGTATCTTGAATATTTTTTTGAAATCTTGAAGAAGTACAAAAATGGGTATTCCGAAATACATAAAAGTCAAATTCGGAATGAACTGAGCCATTAAAGCTGAGGACATTGTTTGATAGCATTTCAACCTAAAACGTCTCTCCCATGTGTCATTCAAAATAAGAAATGAGTGGCAGCGGAAACATCGTCTCGTAAAAAAGAGACAAATCGGCGGAAAGAGACGATTAGAATGCATGCGTATTGGAGACACAACTTGGTGCTCTCTTCCTCAGAAAATGGCTCGTATCTTTTTTTTTCTAAATGAGAGCACACTTCGCCCCGTCTCTAATTGCCTATCACCCGTCTTCTTCGGGTTTTCTCTACTTTTCATATATGTACAGAAAAATGTGTGAAAACCAAAGTGCTGCTTCTCTTGACGAAGGCAGGCGAATTCGAAAACAACTCCAATAAAAGTGGGCGGAGCGTGACGGCGTGGTTGTTCGGCTCCCAAGAGAGTGCTACGTTTTGAAAGAAGGCAATGGTTTTAGTGCGGAAGAAGAACAGAAGAACAAAAAACAGCGAGACCCTGGAATTGAGGGAAAAAAGATGAATAGCCTGATCCTTATGATACTTCGAAAAAAAGAAAATTAGAAAAAAATACTGGGAGGTTGAGCAGCATGAAAAAAAGAAGAAGAGAAAGTGGGTTACAAGTGTTGTGTGTAGAAGAAAAAATAATAAAATTTTCAAGCATTTTTTGCATCTGTAGGTCTTGTTTTTGCTGGAAAGAGGAATTTCATTTTCTCTTAAGTTTTGCTATTTGTGTTTATTTATGTAGATCTGGTGCAAACAAATCTGAAGGTCCCACAAGGACAACTACAGTAATCTAAAAAAAGGTTGTGTTTCAGGATTTCTTTTCTCGTTTTTTTACTGTTTTCAGTCAATTTTTTTGTGTTCTTTTTTCTAAACAAATCGGGAAATGAAAATTGACTAAAAATTGACTAAAAACACTCAAAAATCGAGATAATTAATCCGGAAAAAAATGTTTAGATTACGGTAGTTGTCGTTGTGGGACCTTCAGTTTTTTTCATAGTTCCGAATAATTCGTACCAGTATAATATCTATAATAACATTTATATTTTCTGCGCGAAATATGAATATAAAATGGTCCAGGAATTACATAGAAAAAAAAGGAAAAATAACCCATTTCGTATTCCGTCTTCAAATATCTCTTTCCTAGAATTGAGAAAAACCATCTCTTTCCTAGAATTGAGAAAACCCGCTTGTTAGAAAAAAAGGTTTTCCAAAAGATCGGAAAAGTTTGAAATCATTCCTGGAGTAAATAACGAAGTGCAAGACAAACAAAGATGAGTTCAATCATAAAATAATAGAGTAATTCTACACCCTTCTCTCCCGAAAACGTCTTGAGAAAACTGAGTGAGAGAGAGCAGGTCAACAAGTCACATCAGAAACGAAAAAAAGTGGTTTTATATGCAAATCGAAAACGGACGTAGTGGGAGGACGTTGGCCTGAGCCCCCTTCCTTTCGTGAGCAACTAAATCAGATATCCGTGCGAAAGTTATTATGACTCTTGCTCTCCTTTATGCCATAACAAGCAATCCGTTTCTTGACAAAAATACTACGACTACTTCTCCTGTTTCTATGCATTCGACCCCTTTTTTCCTCTCTAACGAAACTGGAAAATTGGTGACCAAAAACAAAAGAAGTGTGTGATGTATTACTGACACATACACTCCCTATTGACTTGCTGTCCCTCCGAACCACCAGTGATTTGGGTCGGGAACTATAATGAATTATAAATGCGTTTCGGAAAAAAAACAAGAACCGCAAAAAGAAAAAGAGCTCAGATAAGATCTCAACATGGGGATTCAGACTCATTAGAGCAGATATCATTCGTCATCGCTTTGTCAATGCGGGGCACCAACCCGCATGTCTAGATTGCAGCGCAAACAAGATACCGTCTGCGCCATGAATGCCAGTTGCCTATGAGGACAAAGTGTGTATATGAACCGAGGAAGAGGCGAGCGCCTAGTGCGCCTCCAACAAAGGGCAGCAGAACAGTGCTGCGCGGCAGATGAATGAAAACTATTTTAAGCTAGAATCATCAGTTTATGTAAAAGACCGGTTGTAAAAAATTGATCATGGGTAAAAATAAATATTCACAGGAATACAATCAGCATTAGAGATGTCCGGTTTAATAATTCAAAGTTTTGGGAGGTATGAGAAGATGGTGTGAGAGACGGTATAGTCAGCATTGCGTTCTTCTTCAGTAGGTTTACGGTTGTCTTCATCGATTGGACGAACTGGTCGAGATGCATTGACAAGACGACAGACATGTTCTAGAGAAGGTTCCAATTCCAACGTAGTCATTGCACGAGTCTGTACATTAGCTCCAACAGTATTGGTATTCTCGCAAGTCCATATGCGCGGTCTCTTGTGCATAAATGCTTCCTTATTCATGCGCAGAAGTGGTAGAGTTGTTTCGAAAACGTAATCCGTTTCTGTCTCTCCTCGTTTTGCTTTTTCGACCATACCGGTGGTATACTTAGTTAGAACGCGTCTAGCGAGGTCAGGAAGAACAACAAGATCCTTCACATTGAGGAATCCGAAGATTTGATGAATTGTTGCCATTGCCATTGTAATAGGCAGAAGAGACACGACGCTTGAATGAAGAGTTCCTTCTAGAGTGGACAAGTCATTTTCACATGTTTTGAGAATGAATGTGAGCTCATCAGATGGAAATTGAAGGGTATCCGAAAATTTGTTGATAATACGTCTGAAAAATATTGTACAGTCGATGACGAACGATGATGACAACTAAACTCACCCTCGAAGACTTTCTACTCCGATTTCCATCATCATTTCAATAGTGCTCAACCTTTCGAGAATTGGCATTCTGAAATCGCATGTTTTCGAAGCTCGAATCAACGAAGCTAAGTGACTTTTGTTGCCTTCTTGGACATGTGATTTGATTTTTCCGTATGTCAGAGCTTGCAAAAAGTTCTTGAATAGCATGGTGGCTTGTTTGACGTCGCTGCACTTGCGCACAATATTCCAAACTTTGTCGGTCACTTGTTCGCTTCTGAAATGTTTAATGAAGCAATTCCAAAATATTCTGAAAACCGCTTACTTCTCATTTGAGGCAAATACGTTGTCTTCATGAGAGCAAGCTTCAACGAGTTGTTTCATTTCTTGAACGAGATCATCGAACTTGTCCGACTCTGATCGGAACACAACTTCCTTCTCAGGATTAGCAAGCACATCCGCAAGATTTAGCACGAAGAACAGTTGTTCGAAGATGGTCTCATCGATAAAGAACCGATTGTCTCCCCATCCCAAATCAATTTTGATAGTGCAATCAGCAGCATTGTCTGGCTGCTCCAAGAGAACGAGACTGCTCTGTAAAGAAATGCATTGATGTGAGGCAAGGGACCTTTTATACCTTTGTATTCCATCGCATATCAATGATGACTTCACCAGGCGCTTCCCGAGTCGGAGTTGCAATTTTACGAATGACATCATAAACAGCACGGTATCGATTTACTTGAGCTGCGCCGCATGCTTCATTCAACTGCTTCACTAGCTTCTGACTGTTTTCATTAAAATAACCCAGAATACGAGTAGCGCCAGACACTTGTACGTTCTTGTTGGTTCGTCCAGCTGCAAGCCAGCAGACAGATGGAAAGTGGTGACCGATTGTTGAAATCCAGATAGGCAATTTATCAACGGCAGCAGAGAAATTTTTGGAACTTTCCAGTCTCAAACTGCAAATAAAAAAGTTAATAGTGGGATTATGAAACCGGTGGACTCTACAATCTCTGAAGAGAAATTCCATCCTCGAACGGAATCGGATTTGCGTCGAAAAACTGAATCTCACAATCAAGACCAACAATCTCCACATCGTTTACTAAAACAAAACGACAGTCATTATTTATCAATTTAAATAGCTAATTCATTACCTCCATCCTTTTCTAGTTTATCCAAAGTGAGAAATGAGGTGACAAGGGGTCCTCCTCCGGTTTCAGAAACAGTATTTTCCTTGTCTCCTTCAGCGGTTTCCATATCCATGGACTCATCTTCCTTTTCAGATTTGATTGTCTTCTTATTTTCTCTTCTATTCAACAGTGATGAAGTTTTCTGCTTCTCTGCCGATTCGATGGGAGAGTCGATGACAAGAACTTCTTCCGAATTTAAACCAAGCTGTGAAGTATTCGAGTAGTTGGAAACGAGAGGAAGCTCGGTGATCGGTACAAGACGAACGCGATATTTATCAAGCTGGAAAAACACTTAACCTTTAAAAAAAAGCGAAACATTCTAAACCAGCAGAACAGGCGCTGGTGCCTCATCCTCCTCTCCTTTGAATAAAACCGCTTCATTGAAACTGTGCAAATCCTCGAGTTTAATTGACATAGCTGGAAAACTGAATGATGTAAATATTCTTCGGTGACACGCACTACTACTTTAAAGAAAACAAAAAAACAACCTGCGCCGAGAAGGCTCAAATTTCGCGGAGTTTATCTCCTTTTTTTCCGCAAACACCGACACGCACTTTCACACAATGTCAGAAAACGCGCTCTGATGTGGAATGCCCTCCAAATTATTGACCGACCGCGCCGCCATCACCGACCGGCACCAATGTATACACACACACCACGCACCGCCGACCACTGTTCCGACTTGAATACCGGCCCGAAGCGGTCGCGACCTTTTTATCGCATTTTGATGTTTCCATATAAAATTTTAAAAAATTTATATGATTAAATATTTAAATAATAGCTCTCAATTATTAGCTCTCAATTAAGCTCTCAATTAATAGCTCTCAATTAAGATTCCGATATTCCTTTCCGTTTAATTTGATTGACTTTACCAGTGTTAATTGAACTTTTTTAGTTCCTTTTCACGAATGCAATTGAATTTTATCAATTTCTTTAGAACATTTTGTTTTCAGGACAATGTCGGAGGCAGATGCCGGTCGGATAGAGGGTTCGTTGTTGTTTTTTTTTTGCTTCATCAGTGGAATGGTTTTTTTGCAGAGTCACCATCCAGAGAAGTGGGAGAACCGGTTGATGCGATGCCAGTCAACGACAGAAGAAGCTCTTCAGTAGAAGTAGTGAATGGCGATATGCTGCTGCTACACTCAATTTTTTATCAAGGAAAAACTCTCAAATTGGCGGGTACACACACTCACATCTACAATGTTGTCTTTCGAATTCTTAAACAGTAAGTTACAAAAAAAAGACACTGTAAGATGACATTCATTTCAGCGTGTGCAAAAAAGTTGCTCAACTGACAGTTGCCTTTCCGGCAGGATGGGATAATGATAAGCCAGATAGTGCAAAAGTCGCAAGCTTATGTAAAATTTATAACAGAGTTGCCAAGCCATTTGCCAGTGCTGTAAGAACATTTTAAAAATTATTTTGCACAAATTATTTTTACAGTGGAGCGGCTCGTACAACACTGATACACTCGATGATTGGGGTGAACGTAACTGCACGCAGAAGGTTGCCATAGACATCACGACATATGCATATGAATTAGCCGTTCCACGCCCAGCCGATCTGAATCACTACTACAAAAGCTTTACGTCGGAGGTTTTAGAATTCAACTGTTGTTGTTCCTGTATTGAATAATTTCAGACATACGGAGAAACTAATCTCGAACAGATGGCCAGCATCATAGACGAATTAAACATTGGTCCACAGGACGTTTTGGTTGATTTGGGAAGCGGTATAGGTCAGCTGGTTTGCTTCACCGCTGCCTACGCGAAATGTAGAAAAACCGTTGGAATCGAGCTTTCTCAAACACCAGCAAATTATGCCAACGATTTAGGAGACTATTTCAAAAAGTAAAAAGAAAATGTTGGCCAGTTGGGTAATCGCTTTTTTTCTCAGACTTATGAACCATTTCGGTAAAACTTACGGACGATTCGAGCATTATCAAGGAGACTTCTTGAATCCAAAGTTTAAGAAATTGATATGCGAAGAAGCTACAGTTATATTCATCAACAACTTTGCATTTTCGCCGGAACTGATGTTCAGAATTACAAATGAACTACTTCAAGATCTCAAGCACGGTACTAGGATAGTGACAACGAAACCGTATGATATCCAAGTATGTTTTGTGTCTAATTTGATTTAAAGCTTTCAGATTCGGAGATCACAAAAAGGAACTTACCGTCCGATCAGTTGGAGGTTGGTGAACAAAACATAAAGTTATGAAAAATCTTATATATTTTAGATATCAATGCGATTAGTCACACTGTGGAGTTGAAGTCTCTGGATTATGGAGTGTCATGGACTGCCAAGCAGGTCACATTTTGGCTTACAACCATGGACCATACAAAGGTTTGTAGCATTGCGTTATTCAAACTTTTGAATGTATTACTTTTCTAGCTTATAAGATATTACGAGGAAGAACGTCGGAAGAAGCTGGAACCCAGCGGCTCGCGTGAACGATCTCAGGTAACGGAAAAGAGAAAACTAGATCACAAAGAGAGAGATAATAGAGATACTTCAAACTTGAACCGAGGTGGCTGAAAAGTCTATTTAATTCGTTTTTTTTTTCGTAAAAAGCAGACAATCCCTGAATTGGTGCTAAATGTTCGAACTTGGTTTTTGAGAAAAGTCTGTAAAACTGTAGCAAATCTAAAAATTCAATTAGACACATAAACAATTTTTGGCAAATTATTTTAGTAAAATTTTTCACGTACACTTTTGCAACCTATTTCCTCGTCCTCCGCGTTTCCGAACCCGCAACCATCTGCTGGTTTCCTTTCCTCTGAATAACCGCATAAATCTCTCATTCTCTAGAACTATTTATCCCACAGTGAGATTCTCACTTGAACATCCGACCTGCTTTAAAAAGTTCAAACAGTTCAAGTTCAAACAAGCAGTGGTCCATTTTGAGGATTTTTTGAATAGAAAAACAGAGGCTGATACATGCGGTTCGATAATTTCACAATACCTTTTACTCTGTTTCATGTCTCATAAATTGCGAGTTTGTGTATAGCGTAGTGTTGTTTTCACATCTTTCCCTATTCCCATGTTTTCTCTCCTTCGTCGCTTGCTGCAGCCGCGACGCGTCTCCCCCCTCCTGAGGAATGAATTGTGAGAAGGAGACGCTAGACAGTAAGAGTAGAACGAGAAGAGTGTGGGCACTGAAGACACGAAGAACGAGGCCGTAGAGTGAGAAGACGCGCGCGAGTGCGCGACAACCGTACGTAGTATTGATCGAAGAGATCCTATGGAAGTATCTTCAAAAAAGACGCGCGAATTTTCTGTCGCTAGGTCGTCTGCTGATCGTATTCGTACTAATTCTATGAATTCTAATAATAGTGTTACTTCGACTAGTGCCGCTTTGCAACAAAACCCTGAAGTGATTAACTCTAGCGAGGACGATATATTTTTCGGACGCACTACTAGAAAGATGTGGAAGGCACAGGTTAGTTCCAGTCTCTGTAAATTTGTGCATCGCGTACTTCCTGACATAAGCCAAAACTTGAACAATCGTAATTTTATTCAATATTTCAGACGGAACAGGCCACGGCAAGCCAACATTCACCAAAATGGAATGAGCCGGACACAGACTATTCTCCACCCACCAAGAAGCCCAAGAAGGAGAAAAAGGAGCACAAAAATACCGCAGATTCCTCGTTTTCCGAGAAAAGTAATTCTGGAAAAGATCCAGAAAAGAAGAAAAAGAAGAAAGATGCTTCGAAAGATATCCCTATCTCGTCGAAAATAATGAAGGTAGGCTTTGAGTGCTTCTCGAAACGAAGTTATAAATTACATGTTCAGACTCCTAAGAAAGAGAGAGACTCACACACTGGTTCGAAGCATTCCGACACACCAACCGCTCATCGTTCTACCATAAGCTCAACTCCCCATTCCGTGCCTTCCCAGCCAAAACCAACGGCTCCACCACCGTCGATGACGATTCCGCAAAAACCAGCAGAGAAACTAGTGAAAAGTGAAGAACCTGAGCTGACCGAAACTCTTCATGGAGCTGATCTTGCTGGTGAGTTCAAGTCTTGAAAGGAATTTTCTGGTGAACTTTTTTTCATTTGGACGGAAAACTCCTTAAAACAACCAAAAAACAAACATAGTAAATTAATTATATCTTGATACTTCGAGGTCAGAAGAGATAAAATTAAAAAAAATGTCTCTAGTAGTCCAATTTTAGACTTCATTATTGTTTTCGATAAAATTTTATCTAATTTAGTAGACTATTTTCATTTGATCTACTCTAATCTTTCTCGACACACTCAAAGATCGGATTTCAAAATTCCACTTGGTCCGCAAAGTCAGTTTTAATCTACATTTTTATATTCAGCCAAATATCACAACGCGTTGAACACGATCAAGGAAGTTGCAGCATCGTCATCTGAAGCCGCTGCCATCCAAGAAGCTGTAAGAAAGTTCTAATTTTTTCCTGAATCTAATTACATATGTTTCAGATTGAATCAGTGCTTCACCAAAGAACCTCTCCACCACAGCTCACGCAGGCTCACAATACAATGCCCTACAATCCACTACAGAACGCTCCTGCTCCAGCTTATCAACCTGCACCCACAGCTCCTCCACAGCAATTGCAGCAACCAAACATGGTTCAGCCGTGCTCTGAGATAGTTCCTGAGCAGAGACATACTTTTATGATACCTCCAACGGATCCATTATACGATATTATTGTCAGCTATTACTTCGAGTTCAAAAAGTACCTCAATGCCGCCAAGAATGGAGAATCAGATCTTTTGAATAGTTTGCGACAAGACATTGAGGCTGAGAAAAATCGGCGCATTGAGCTCAACGAGTCAGCGGCTTCGACGAACTGTCAGATTGACGAACTCCTATCAGTGGGTGTACACGTGTTGAAGAGGCTTCTTGATCAATTGGGAATGATGGGCGTACAAGATGTTTCTGAGTTGCTGTCTGGTTCAAAACAGATTGTTACCCAACACAAAGCACTTTCAACCAATGTCGCACAATTGGAACAAGCAGTGGCTATCGAAGAAGAGAAACTGAAAACGCTTGGTGCTCCAGATGCCCTAAAATATTACAACGGTAAGACATTTCATTGAATGCTATTCGTGACAATGTACATTACTTATTTTTACAGAAGCCATGAACCAAAATGTGGAAACTGAGAAACTACTGCAATTGATCATCGCCTCTCGACCGGCAAATTTCGTTCCTCAAACTGTCCTAGACAAGTATTTAAGCAACGATTCAAAAGTTTCACCATCTTCTCGACGTGCTCGTCAACCGAAACCAAAACAAGGGAGTAGTGGAAAACGTGGTAACTCATCTGGGCGAAAATCGGACGTGCCAGCAGAAGACGTAGACCTTGAGATCCAACAATTCGTTCAACATGCAATGAAAGTGGACAACGCTGTGAAGGAAAAAGAGAGAAAGGTTTGTGGTTTTTTTGTATGTACTGAATCCTCAACTTTCATTTTAGGAGCGTCAGCATCGTCCAGGACGTCCAGCACTCTCCAATCCAGTTCAAGTTCCAAGTACGTCCAAATAGCTTGATATATAAAAATTCAAATAGTATTACCTGATTCTCCGGAAGCAACACAATAATCTGTGCCTTATTTTACCCATCATTTTGAATGATCTTGACACCATGAAAATATTATTCCATTATGTATTCAATTAGCATTTGATCTGTCGGTGCCACTTTGAAATAATTCATGTCCTATTTTACTGTACTGTTCTTTTCTATATAAATTCTATATTTGTTTCGATGTGTGTTTTCATTCAGTCAAATTATGCGGTTACTCTCCACCGAGCATATATATTTTTGTTTCTTTTAAATTGACTCAGTTTCTATAAAGTTAGGTTTAGAAACATGGAAGAACCATCAACTAACCCGAATAACATCGTTCATGCCGAACCAGGTTCAAGCGAGGCAAAACGGTGAGTTATCACGAAATTCGAAATAGAACTATGTCATTTTTTGAAAGAAAATAGCGAAAATGGACTTGTTTCAGTAGGTCTATATCAGGACATCCCGGACGGCCTGTACTTCCACCGCCCCCTCCAGCGGAAGCCCACTTTCATCGAAAACGGCCGAGAAGTACGCATCATCCTACGCCAAACCCGAAAGCTCCACGAAAGGAAACTGATTTAGTGGATAGGATTTGGCATGAGATTGATGAGGAGCAACGCGAGAAGCTAGCAAGGAAGAAGGAGAAGAAAGAACAACCGGCACATAGCCCACGAGATTATTTACCGTTAACGGCATCGAATTTGAGAAATTTCAAAGATGAAGACGAATCAATAAGAGATTTTATTCATAGACAAGGAATGGTCGATCGACTATTGGGCTATAAAATGTTGTTCGGACGAATGGAAAATTGTGTGACTCTGGGATATGAGAAGATGGCCGACGACGAGATCACAGAGCTTTCCGCGAAATGGCGCAAAATGTTTTTCCCTGGAGAAGATCCCCCGGAACAAAAATGCCCAAAAGTGGAACCATCATCTTTGCCTGAAGACGAAGATTTCAAGCCGATTAAAAAGGGTCCTCGAACGCCACCAGGATCTCCAGGAGATTCGAAACCCGCTAATCAAAACGCTGTCAGTAGATTTGAACTGATTGAACAATTGGCAAAGAACTTTGGAATAAGTCCTCAAAAGGTGGAAAAGACATTAGGGAGCGGGTTGGATAAAGCTTTGGAGGATTGCTCGAAGAAAATTAAAAATGAGTTATTGGAGACATTCAAGGAGCAATTGCTCAGTCAGTACGACCGTAAACCGACAACTGATGATTTATCGGATCAAATGGAGTTGGTGTCTGAGGATTCGTTATCCGTTGACTTGGCAATGGTCAAAAAAGAGGAGCCAAATACAGATTTTTCACTTTATCAAATGGCAGTTCCTCCACCTCCGATTCCACCTAAAATTCAACCTGCTTACGCGTAAAACTTGTTCTTATAAGATTATCACAAAAAAAAATGATTTGCAGGTACTATCCACCACACGTGCCTCCCTGCGCTCCCGCTGGTCCCTCATTGTATCCACAATATCCTCCGCCACCGGCGCCTCCTTCTCATGCACAGTCATATCAGCAATCGATAATGTCCTATGTGAGTCCTAACAGGTTGATTTTATTCACAGACGCCTCTTCAGCCTCCTCCACCACATCCGTTGATACCAAATGGACCTCCACCACAAATGCATTATCCAATGCAACAGGTTCAGAATTTCCCGCCGCCTCCACAGGCACCTGCCAGCACTATGATGCTCCCGCCAGTGAATATCCCACCGCCTCCAATCGGTGTTCGAATAGATACTCCTATACCACAGCAATTACATCCTGGCAAGAATTGAAGGAAACGAATCGCGCTTATCCCAATACTTGTTTTTCAGCTGCTCCTCCATTACCAACTGGAATGCCTCCGCCTCCAATTCCAACCCAAGTTCCGCCTCCTCCATTGCCACCACAAATGGCAGCGGCACCACCACCACCGCTCCCTCCGCCGGCTCCTCCCGCGGCTTATTCTGGAGACTGCTGGCGTTCAGCTCCGACAGCGCCGTCTGTACCACCTCCACCAACCAATTCGGTAGAAGCATGGCAACAACATGTACCTCCTGTCGCTCCTGCCGGTGTTTCTGTCAGTTCAGCACCATCTGTAGTTAATGTACAAAGTACTCTTTTCTCGGCCTTAGGCCTTCATAAGTTTCCTCCTCCTCCGCCTCCTCCACCAGTCAATGGTAATAATTCGGCAGCTATTGCTCCTCCTCCTCTTCCTTTCGCTTCGCTTTCTGGACCACCACCACCGCCTCCACCTCCGGTTGCTGCTGGTCCAGCGTCGACTTGTCCTCTGACTTTCGTTCCGCCTCCTCCTCCTCCGAATCAGCAATCTAATAACATTAATTTTTCTTCTCCTTCTTCAGGATATCGACGGAATAGTTTCAATACTGGTCAAGGTAATCAATATCCAAAAAAATTTTCTAATTTTTAAACAGCCCTCTGTCTAATATAATGATTATGTATATTTTTCGTATTCCTCCTTTCTTTCAATGCCAAATTTGCCAATTTCTCTGAATCTAGTAATCTTGCACCTTCCTGCTCACTAGTCAATTCAAAAGTTTATCTCGTTTGCCATCTACTTAATTCTATGTCCGATTTTGTGATTAATGTTTTCCACTCTCTTTCTCTGATGCATACTTATTCTTCTCAATTTAACATTTATTTTACAGTCATCTATAATATTTTCATTATTCTCTCAATCTGCAATGCATTTCCAGAATCTTGTCAGCCTTATCGTTTTTATCTCAAAGTCACTTCAGATTTTTACACATTTTTTTCATAATTTTTAATTGCTTACCGATTTAATTTTTTTTTCAACGGTGATAATTTATAAAGATATTTTTGCACACATTAAATACTCATAATTTATACAATGTCAATTGAAAGGATCAATAAAATGCAGGTAGGCGATCGAAGATGTTTATTTCGATGATTTTTGCATTGTCGCATCTATTCATATCAAAATGTACAATTTTGTTTCATTCTCGTCTGTTGATATTTTTGTTCAATCAATTTTCAAGTCAGCCTATGAAACATTTCACGGCATGGCAACGGCTCAGTAACATTCTGAATTCAATATCATCGTGGCCCTTTGTGAAATACTGTCGCATAGGTTGATTTGAGAAATCTACCCAGATGATGATTCTCTGAAGATATAAATATCTCTTTAACCACTTGATATGTTTTTCAACATGTTAACAATTATCAAATTCTGAATTTTCATTTCTCTATCTTTTTTTCTCTCTTTCTCCATCATCTCCGTTCTGTTCCTCAACGATATTCTTTATAAGAAACACAATCATAGTTTATTTCAGACAACACAGAATTTGAAAGAACAACTACAACTTGATTATTACACACAATACACACAATATATCTCAATTTATACAAAGCACCTTAATTTTTCAACTGAGCTTTCGAACACGAAATCATACCGTGTTTCCTCTAATAGAAGCCCACCCACACGGTCAACTTTGGGCTCAATCATCTCGATTCCTGTGAATGATATAGAAAATAGGTCAACTGATAAAGTATTGGTTATATTATGATGAATAATTTATCAGTTGGCACATTTTTTATATCTTTCGCAGGAATCGAGATAATTGAGCCCAAAGTTGACCGTTTGGGTGGGTTTCAATTAGAGGAAATGCGGTATGTCTAATTCCGTATGTATTCATAAAAAAACAGTTTTACTTCCTAAAATGAACCGAAAAAATGTGGAAGAAACTTATTTTCAAGACAAGTCGAAAAAAATTATACTTAGCATGAAGTCCACAATTTATAGTCTTCCGTTCTGTTCTCACATTTCTCAGCACAACAGATTCAGATCATTATCAACAACTTCTGAATCACGAAGCTTGAACATATCGAAAACAAACACAACAGAAAAAAATAAGAAGGAAACCGTGTATTCATAAAGATCTATTCTGAAAATTGGCTTGTATTCTGTCTAATATTCGGTAAGTTGACCCTATTTGTCTGAAACTCCCACGTCTTCGATCCTTTGATGCGTGTCGTGTCACATCAATTGAAACGACCGACCGTTCCTTGGATTGCTGCACGTGGAACATGATGACTCTTTTTTTTTACAACTTTGTTATTGGAACTGGGAATTCTCAAATGAGGAAGATCCATAGTTTCTTAAAGAAACCCTTTTTTTCTCATAATCTGTTATTCATAAGTGTTTCAACATTTATTTAGCTAATGATTTTAAATAACATTGTTCGATCGTTGCAGTTACAGAATGTTTAAAAAGTTAACTGAAATGTCTAGAAACCTGAAAAAAGTACAAAACCGAAGGTTTCGGAAGATCATTCTTGATTTTTAATCTCAAAGACAAAATCTTTAGTTGATTTGAAACTCCATATTTGGTTGAGCAACGAAGCAAGTGAAAAAAAGGAGAGAAACACAAGAGTAACTGGGAGACGCTAGAATCCAATCAGGCGCACAAGATAGAGGAAAAGGGAGGGAATGGAGTGACATGTCGTCAAGGAGACGGCAGGTAACTGCAGGCTCGACTACAACTCGGCGAACAAAACTTGAATTGAATGAATCACGATGAGCACTGTTATACTTTGTCACGCGGAATCGGTGAATCTTGATGCAATTAGAGCATCAGATGCTAATATTATTAGATACAGTGTTACTGTAAAATTGAATGAATTAAAAGGTGAGGATTTTTAGTTGAACATTTTTTCTGTTTTGGTCTTTCATATGCAGGTATGAATTGTTTAATTTTACTCTGAATCTTTCGGAAATTGATTTTTTTCCCAATCTCTGAACCTTCGAATTCCATTTTCCAAAATGTTGAATTCTCTAACCAATTCAGTTTTCAGCTTTCCGAAATCCCAAAACCAACAAAAATCAATATTAAGGAATCTGAAAATTTTGAAACTCGAAGATCTAATCCTATTTTCGAAAAATGCAAAAACTTTTAAGTTTAAAAAAATTGAGAATCAGTAAGGAATCTGAAAGAAATAGATTGAAAGACGCCTGTATTTTTCACGTTTTCAGTACAAAACGAGCCAAAAAGAGGGGTCTTTCCGAAACCGTCGAATAGCAGGAAAACGAGGAGTTTTCAAAAAATTCGTTAAATGCGAAGTTTTTAATCTAGGTCTGTTTAACATACTCCAAAATACTCCAAGAGGTCGGAAAGCTGTCAGACGAGCTCCAGACTCCTGAAGTTGGTCAACATCAATAGAAAAGAACGTTTATTATTAACAAAAAATAAATACAAATGTTAAGTTTCGGAAGTGTACTGATTAGCCAGACTTTCGTCTGTTGATCCCTTTCGCCATGTAGAGGCTCAGTACATGAAAGGGTCCTCCGCCCAGGTCTCCGAGGACCATTGTTGGACCATTTCCAAAGCTCTTTTTCACTAATATAGAAGTCTTGACTACGCTTTTCAAAGATTATGTCATATTCTTTTAAATCTTCGATTGAATCTTTTGCTCAAGGGGGACGTTCAGTGAGAAACACCTAGCCATGAACCCCAAAACATGGCGATCCTTAGGGCCTTCTAGTACTTCTTTCGCATTCGACCAATCGAAAGATCAAAAAGAAAATGAACCAAAAAGAAGCGTAGGCAAAGATTTTTTTACTGTGAAAAAGTGCTAGTGATAATTATCTAGTAATAAAATTCAAAGATTTTGATTCCACAGAAAAAAAAAACCTTTTTTTCAATATGTGGAATTTTTCAAAGTGTACAGAAGAAGGGAGCGTGACGTAGTATTGATTGAATTATTGACTTCTTGTGTAGCGTGAATAAAACAAGTAAATATAGAAAAGATTGAAAATGAAATATAATTTGATGTGACCTTTTGAATAAATAATATCGCCCCGAAGGCGCACCAGTTAGTTGTTTGAAGCGCCGAGGCATGGCAAACAGGCTGGTGTAAAAACTGCAATCGTTGAACTTAAAACTTGAAGCATCCTTGAATGTCGAAACCAACATTTTCTATAAAAAATAATTACCATAACAGAAACCGATCCAAAGCGTCAACTTTGAGCTCAATTATTTCTATTCCTTTGGAAGATATCAAGAAGTGGTTAACTGACAAAACGTTTTATTATGATGAATATTTTGTTAGTTGACCACTTTTTGACTTCTCTTACAGGAAATTATATATGGGCTAAAAGTAGACTGCTTGGGTCGCATTCTATTAGAGAAAATACGGTATTGTTGAAAATCAGCCAGACGACTTCTTAAATTGTGAATAATGCTGAATATAGTTTTGAATTTCTTTTTTGAGATTAGAGTTCAATTTTAAATGGATTAAAGTCATGATTCTCGGGGCGGGCTTTTATTAAATAACCGTATTCACGGTGCCTACCTTTTTGTCTACTTCTGGAATTATGGTCTCAGCCACTTCAAAAAAAAACAATTTCAGCAATGTTGAAACAATATTCTTCTGGGAAAATTCGAAACCTTGGGCTCCATATTCAAAGCCGTGATGCGAAACTTCAAATTTTGGAAGACATGGTTTCTTTGTATCAATTGCCAAAATTGGATTTTCTATTTACGAATTTCAGGAAATCACAAAAGACACATTAGAAGATGCAGGCTCATTTGTGTCCCAATTTTTCCGATGGATGGTTTCAGAAGTTCTCATTGAGGGAGCTTTCATTGATTTTCTATTGACTACACCAATCGAAAACTCTTCTCATTTGTGCTTGGCAGTTCAAAGTGTCAGCAAAAAGAAGGTGTTTACTTCTTCTGTTATTCTCCCTTTTATGTTAGAATAACATATTTCCTCTGATAAAAGCCCACCTAAACCGTCATGTTTGAGCTCAAAAAAGTAGTCAACTAACAAAGTTTTCATTATTATGTAAAAACAATTTTACCAGTTGACCGCTTTTTGATATCTTTCACAGGAATCGAGATATTTGAGCTTGTCGCTTTGGGTGGACTACTATTAGAGGAATTACGGTAGAGACTAACTATTCGGAAGGTGAATTTAGTGTATCTGTTGATTCAATTTAGTTTTCAGATTTCTGGTTACTGCAAAGTACAGTCTTCAATAAAAAATTAATCGTATAATAGATTAAAAAATCAGTTCTAGAAATGCTGTTATTTTAATCAGACTACCTTTTTTGTTTTATGACTGGAGTCTTAACCAAATTAGTTTTGACTTTTTCCGGTTCTCAGTAATAAAAACCGCCTCCGTAGAATTGTTTCTTGAAACTGATTACATATTTTTGATTTATATATTTTATTGTCCAAATCTATCCAGTAATCAGGAACCCGCCTACTTTGTCCAATTAAAATTCCCACCCTTGGTTCTCAAATTCCAAGAAACTTTTCAGATCTCTGTCCGCCTTGTCAGCAGATTTCTGTCATCTGAATTAGCTCCTCACAACAGGTCAGTTGATACACATGGCGTGTCTTGTGTCTAATGAATCTCTTCTCTTTTTTCATCCTTTTTTGCTTCTTAGCAACCGCATCCCCATTTTTTCATTTCTTCTTCTTTCCTTTTTTAGTCTTTTCTTTCTAATGAGCAGGCTTCGATATATGCTCGTTTTGATTCGTTTAGTTCATTCTTTTCTTTTCTTTTTTTTTCTTCTCCCACCTGCTCTCCACAAGCAATCAGTGATTATTTCCTGGCCTACGAAAATCACTATTTTCGTATTTTGTATATATGTGAAGTCTCTATGGGCATTTTTGACAATTCATGTTTTTTTTCAGAAGAATAGTCGACATCTATATCAACAATGAGATAATGATAACGAATCCGAACCCAAGAGCCACGTCGGCTCAGAATCGGTATGAAAGGATACGGACTGTTGGAAAGGGTGAGAAAATGTTGGATGATTCTTAATATCAATGACATGTTTGCAGGTGCCTTCGGGTCAGCAGTATTATATCGTCGAAAAGAGGACAGTTCTTTGGTCATAATCAAGGAGATCAATATGTATGATTTGGATAGTTCACAGAGGAGATTAGCACTGAACGAGGTAGGGATTTTATAATTTGACGTCAGTTTGGAGTTAGAAGTTTTCAAGAGAAACATTTTTGCGATGGAAGTAAATGAACCAGATTAGAATTTCTTTTATGAAACACAACGACCTCTATAAAACTGATTTATTTGTTTATCTTATTCGATTATACACAGGGTGGCGCACAATTACCTGGACTGATAAAAACGGGTATATCTTCAGACATGAGAATCTTGTAAAAACGAGAATTGGTAGAGATGTAATATAGCTTTCGATTCGAAGCTGGTGAAATTTTCAAAGCGATTTCTCGAGTCGATGAATTTCTATGATTGTCCAAAGATGAACGACTTGTGGTTTTCTAGATATGAATCAACTTTTCCAAGCGATAACCCAGCTCAAAGTTGATCAAATAATTTGAAACGGTTTACTGATGAATCGTTTGAATTTTCGCACTCCAAATTTGAGCCCATTATAACGCGTTTCTCAAGTTTTATGCTAGTACAAACTTTAGTTTGGGTAATTATGAGCCACCTTGTCGCTCCTAAGATCCTCCGTTTCCGAACCAGTCAGCCCAACAAAAAATATCAAATGTGCTTCCGTTTTTCTAATAATAAACCAAGTAAAAATTGAAAGGTTTCTCTTCTGTCTCGTATCGAACATCCCAACATCATCGCATATTATGATTCATTTGAAGAAGAAGGAGTTTTGATGATTGAAATGGAATATGCAGACGGTGGAACACTTGCTCAAATGTTGGCAAGAAGTCAGAATCTTCTAGAAGAAGAACAAATTGGAGATATGATGATTCAGATGTGCTCAGCTGTCGCGTATTTGCATGAGAATAGTGTGTTGCATAGGTTTGGTTCTTGATTTCTGTACATCCAGTTCGATGATTTTGATTTTTAAGAGATTTGAAAACAGCCAATGTGTTTTTGACTCGTGATTCCTTCGTAAAAATTGGTGACTTTGGAATTTCAAAAATCATGGGAACAGAAACATTGGCTCAAGGAGCAAAAACAGTTGTGGGGACACCATACTACATATCTCCAGAAATGTGTTCCGGAGTTTCTTATAACGAGAAAAGTGATATGTGGGCACTTGGTTGTATTCTTTATGAGATGTGTTGTCTCAAAAAAGCATTCGAGGGTGATAATCTTCCGGCACTTGTGAATAGTATCATGACCGTAAGTGATCCAAAGTGAAACAAAAAAACAAGAATTCTTGTATTTCAGTGTGCTTACACTCCAGTCAAAGGACCATATTCAACGGAGATGAAAATGGTCATTCGGGAGTTGCTGCAGTTGGATCCTCAGAATCGACCATCTGCCTCACAAGCTCTGAAGGTACGTTTTGAATTTCAAGAAACTTCTAGTTTTCTAAGAAAATACCGAAAAATCTGCATTAAAGGACGCGAGACAGCAAAAACAGGTAGTAGCGGCGCTGTACCCCTGAGCTGCCTGTCGTGAGTTCAACTCCTCATGGGGGTTCTCTAGGCAAAATATCAGGAAAACTTTTTTTTGATGTCTGGCCTCCTTTAAAAGGGATCCACAAACTGTTATGTTCGAGCTAATTTTCATTGGATTCTATGCATGATATATATAGAAAGTATGCCAATTGAAAAATGTTAGTGGTATTTTTATACACAATTCAAAAAATTGCCTCAAGTTTAAAAGTTAGAGGGCCCCGAGAGAATCGAACTTTTGACCTTTCTGCCCAAAACCACCCATCTGACCACCTGCGCCACCGTCCTGTGGGCGCTGCAATAGGTCAAAACAGGCCCGTGGCGCAGTGGGTAAAAGGGTTAGATTTAGTGTGAAGGGTCAAACGTTCGATTCTTTTGGGCTCAAATCCATTGTTGCAAGCTTTTAAGGTATGGAAAACTGATTTTTCGGTGAAAAAACCCCGAAAATTCCAAAAAAAACTGCTTTTCGCTTTTTTTCCCAAAATTTTCTTATAGAAAAAACAACAAATTTTCTGGAATTTTCGGTTGATGTAAGTAAAACCAACGGAAATTCCAATTTTTCTGTCTTTCGAAGCATTGATTTTGATTTGGGTGGCGGAAATTTATGTGGAGAGCTGTAGTGTAAAAATTGAATACAGCCAGATGCAGGCAAAGTAAAGACTTCTATCATAACTAATTTTTTTTCCATTTTCAGATGCTCCGCCCATCAGAAAATCGGCATCGTCACACTTCTGGATCGATGCGATCTTCGACTTCCTTCACAACACTCTACGATCTTCACATTCCCACCATCACCCTCTCACAGATTTCAGACTTGCCTGGACGTATATCAGTGAAACAGGTGTATAATTTAGAAGTTCTGATTATTGTAATCAAATATTTCAGATCGCTTTGAGTAAAACGCATACCATGATTTTGACAAACGACAACGAATTGTTTGGGTTCGGAGATAATTCGTGTGGGCAGTTAGGGCTGGGAAAGTTTACAAAAATGTATGTAAAATTAATTGCAGTTCAAAAATAATAAATGAAGAATTTCAGAGAAAACGGGAATCTGATTGAAAGTTTAAAAGGAAGAGATATCCAATCAGTTGGAGTTGGAAACTATTTCAGTGTGGTTTGCTGTGATAGAGGAACGTTAATGACAATTGGAACTGCAAAGAATTTGGGATTGGGAAAGGAAGCAAAAGATTCAGCGAAACCGGTTCTTCTTGAACAACTTCTAAGGTTTTCTGAACGATTCATAGTCAAATCCATTCAGAATTTTTAGAGAAAACATCAAGGATATTTACTGTGGACATGATCATGTAATAGCAGTTCTAGAAAGTGGAGATTGCCTTGGATGGGGTAGTAATCTGAGTGGACAACTCGGATTATCAACTCTTGAGCATTTCTTCATTCCTACAAAAGTATGATTCACAGTTTTTGGGTGTTTTTGAAAAGTAAATATTCAGATAGCAATGCCAAAAGAGAAGAAAATAGTGTACGGAAAAGCTGGAAAAGATGCGACGATGTTGTTGTCTGATGATGGATGTTTGATTGCAATGGGATCAAATAAACACAATAAACTGAATCTAGCACAGCGAGTTGGTTTCTTTGCGAAGGAGAAAAAGGTGAGTGTTAAGAATTCAACTATCGTTGAGCCAGCTCTTATAGGCAACAACTGATTATGTCAATAAGCCAACGATACTTCAAGGATTCCCAGAACGAGTGGTCGACTTTTCAGTGGGATCTTATCATTCTGGAGGTAATTCAACTTTTCGTTTTCTGATGTTCATGATTTATTTTTAGTAATTTTGGAGTCCGGGCAAGTTATGCTGTTTGGAAAAAATGACAACACAGAACTGGGTCTTGGGCACAATCAGAAAATGGCTGTACGATCAGTAAAACCAGTGAAATCCCTTCTCCATCATGCATGCACGGTAATCTTTTTTTTTTCTTCTTATTTTCCCAGAATCTAATTTTCAGCACGTTCTCTGTGGCGATGGATTTACTCTAGTGAGCACAACTGAGCAGGAGCTTTATTTCTGGGGACGGAAAGATTATACAGAGGAAAATGTACGCATCGATGATTTGGAAGAAACAGTTTGTGATAAGAAAATGAAACGATCTGGGAGTGAGATGTTTGACAAGAATGTGGTCACCCTACCATCTTTGATTCTTAGGTAACTCGATATCAAATCAAAAATCATATATCGATTTCTGATCATTTTAGGCTTCAAGACGCTAAAAGAGAAAAAGGGATTCGACTTTCCGGTTTGGCAGTTTCCGGTCGAAGAGTGCACGTGGCAGTGGATATGTTGGAGGGAAAGAGGTAAAAAACGAAAGAGAAACAAAAACTTTTAAAAATCACTTTTTCAGACTTCCTTCCGCTTTGGCGGAGAGATGTCGAAGTGGGTCGATGCCGACGATAAACGACGAGACTCATACGTGGCTTCGAGAAGAATTCGAACAGGCTGAAGTTATTCCGATTGATGCTTCAAAGCGGAGAGTTCGATTTGACGATTCGTGTGATAAACTGAAAATGTAAGTTAGCCGATTATCCATAATTTTCTAACTACCGAGAACGTCCCCCAAGCCGGCAGCGTTGAGCTCATATATCTTGGTTCCTGTGAAAGATATCAAAACGTTGTCAACTGACAAAAACTTATCTTAATATCAACAATATTTTGTCAGTTAACAACTTTTCGATATCTTTCACATGAACCGAGATAAATTGGCTCAAAGTTATACTTTCGGGGTATCGTTCTATTAGAGTGTTTACGATAACTATACTTTTTAGGAGCTCCACGGCCAAACAAAACTCACTAGTACGGGAAATTGAAGAGTTGAAATCAAAGATCAAAGAACAGGACACGACATTCGAAGGACATCGAAATCAAATGTCTGATCTGGAATCGAAACTACAAGAACTACAAGCCAAACAAGCATTCCTTCGAAAATCGGAACCTCCTCCAGCATATGATCGACGGAATGTGACCTACAACAAACTGTTTCCAGAAAGAGAAAACGCTAGTACAACGTGTGTTATTTTGTAATTTTGTGTCTTGAACTGTCTTCTATGGAATAATAGATTTCTTTGGATCATAAACTATTTATCTGGGTTATTAATTTTATTAACAAAATGACCTATAAAGTTTTCTGAGAACATATAATGGTACAAACACTACAAGTGAATAAAATAAGATCATGAAAAGATAAATGTCGGCAAATGTCTTCTGGAACCAATTCAAATGACGAATATACGGATCCATTTGAATGAGTGGTCCGAATTGCCCTACGAATTCCGTGTGCTTCACCACCAATTCTTTTGGAGAGAATGGAGTTGAATTCAGAAGTTGCGAGAGTTGCTTCGCTTTTTGAGCATAACTAGAATTAGATTTTTAAAACTCAAGATCAAAAATTTTGACCCACCTTTTATCAAACATTATTTTCTGGACCGAATTCACTAGAATTTCTTTTCTGTCCAAATCAAACTTTTGAAGCACAAGAGCTCCACCATGTCTTGCCAACATTGGTGCATTTCTTCCTTGATCCCCGAATATCGGAACAACGATAGCCGGTTTTCCAAGATATGCCAACTCATTCGTACTTCCAAGACCACCATGGGTAAGGAAGGCAGTTACTCGGTCATCATTTAGAAGAGCTGATTGAGGGATCCACTTCAGAAAATGCACATTTTCTACCCCTTCGGCCCATTTAAGGTCATCTGATTCGTATTTCCAAACGAAGGTTACATTTGGGAATTGTTTAATTGTGTCCAGAATCGAATTTCTATAAAAAACCTAGGTTACATAAAAGAGGTATGGACACAGTTACCTCCAATTTTCGGGCATCGTAGATGATTTTACCATCGATCCAAACGAAATTAACATATTGTACTCCCTCTTATTCAGTATTTCTCCTATTTCTTCCGGAAGTTTCTCAGTTTTTATCTTTTCTAAATTCACTGAAATCCCTCCGATTCCAACAGTTTTTTGAATGACTGGACGTGGAAAATCCAGATACTGATTCGATTTGTGAAGAATACAGAAGCCAAGGGGATCAAATCCCTCCAATGACCGATGTTTGCTCCAAGATTTTTCCGATATCTCTCCATTTCTTCGTCGAACAGCACTTCTAGATTTTCAGCCATTACATGCGCGGCTGCCCAATTTGTATATCTTTGGAAAATGTCCATTTTTTCATCAAAATATGCTCCATGAACAGGTACGTAACTCATATCAACTGGCTCTCCAGAATTTCTCACGACTCCTTCGTAATGGGTTGTAGAAGAAGCCAGAATAGTTTTATTGATTCCAAGGGCATCGAAGTAACCTAAAAGAAAAGATTGAAAGATACTGCATCAAACTTCTAAAATCCTCACCTAAACCACAAATAGAAACTGGCTCTGCGATTGCCACATCGAACTTTGTTCTGGAAAGTTCTTCGAAAACTTTCTTGTTAGATGTGAAATCGTCACAATTCGACTTCATCATCTCTAGGAAGAAGACGAAGCACTGAAACAATATAAATATTTAAGTCCTCCGCTAATTGTTTCTCTCTTACAGTCTCAAAATCCACTGGTCTATTTTGAATAGTCCATAGAGGTCTTAAAACTTCATCCATATCAATGCTTTGAATATTCGTCTCATCTTGGTTTGGCTTCTGATAATTTGATTCGGTTTAAATATTCTCAGTGACTGAACTTACATCCACGATGATCACATTTTTTGTGAGTTTGACTCCAATTTCATGTCTCCTTGTGACATCTGCAACTGGAACCAGGAATGTCTGAAATCAAGTTTTACTTGAATAATAAAACATTCAACATTTCATTAAACTTACCACATTATGCCCAGCTTCCGTCAAAGCATCGGCAATATTGCCCATAAACTTGCTGTGACTTCCTCCAAACACTGGTGAATAGACAAGAACATTTAAAGATTTTGAAGGCTTACAGACTGCAATAAGCAGTGCCAAATAGAAAAATAATTTGTAAAACATTGCACCCAACGACCATTTGATGAGATAGTAGACATTTTATTTGAAGCGACTTGACCATTGAACCGATTGCACAACATTGCATTTCGATCAAAGAACCGAGGAAAATATAGAGACAAGAGAAGAAGAAGAGAGGGAAAAGAATCAGAAAAAATAGTTGGTTGGAAAATTCCCATTGTAAGGAAAAATTGAAGTACAGTCTGGAAACCAGAGAAAAATGATGTCATTCTGGAACAATTCTGACATCGATGTCAAAAACCTAATTCGTTATGTGAACCGCTCGTTTATTTAGAATAAATTGACAGACTTACATTAGAACATGGAATATTTATTCTCAAAAATAATGATGACCAGTTAAACGATGGTACGTGGTGTATGCATAAGTATGAGATGGATGATAAAAATAGTTATGATTCGAAACTAGAGCTGGATATGGGTATGGAGCTCCGACTTGAGGTACATAACTTGGAGGAGGATGACTGTAGACTGGAGGATTGAAGTGGTATCCAGGTGGTGGGTGGTGGATCCCTGGACAGAAGTTGTTGAAGGATCCGGCGGGGTGAGGTAAATTGAATTGATGTTCACGACCAGCAAAATATGTATTTGATCCGGAACTGGTTGATCGAACCTGGCAGCAGTTTCCGACAGGAGAGCTATTGCAAGAAGATGGTGTTGGCGCTGGTGGGACGCATATTGGACTGTTGCTATCAGAACTTGCAGTTCGACGGTGGTTAAATCCTTGAGTCGGTGTTGGAGTCAAGATTGGAGGAGTCGGAAGTCGATGGTTTTGAAGCGTAAGTAGCATGGTTTTCTGGATTTCTGATTCGTAAAATCTTTCTTTCCACCATTATTCTTTTGGATTTTGTTCCATTTTTTCGCAAGAACTACCTTTGCATAACCGTTGAGAGATGATTTGATGGAAGCCACTTGAGGATCCTGAATGCTACATTATTTTTTTGTATCAACGAATACAATACCAGAGAAAAAAAAACAAAAAAACTTACGCGATATCTCGAGACGGTAATAAATTTCAAGCAGTCGAATTTGAATTCTTGTGGTGTTCCGTCCAAGTCATACAATCCTTTTTCATTTTTTGTAACTTTCGACACAACAAGAATTGCTTGATATTTATTGCAACTATCCAGCAAAACCGCGTTTTCGCATTCGGTTTTTTGAGAAAGACGAACTTTGAAATCAATTTCCTTTCGCATCAGAGCTGCTCCAGTTTGAATATTTTGCATCATGAAGATGTTTTTGTCACTTGGAACACGATTCAGACTTGATCCATAATCGATCACCCATCTGTTTTTAATTGTGGAGTACTGGTACCTAAAACAAAATTCATAAGGAGAGTTAAAAAAGCTTGAAAGTTTAAACTCACTTTCCCTCGCAGATTTTCTCAAATCGAAGACTCAATTGATAATCGGAAATGACATCCAGTCCAGTAAAACAAAAAGTTGGAATTGGAGAGAAAATTCTGCCAATTGGAGTAAGTCTTTGTTCCATTATAGCAGGATAGAAAGACTCAAACACATCCAAATTTTGAAGAGTGACTCCGATTGGAATGGAAAGAGTTGGAGTATCCGAAGAATAGGCTGACATCTCAGGAGATTAGACTTGACTAGATGAGTGAACGTCCGATGACTGAATGAATGAATAAATGTTTCTCAAATAGGTAAGAAATAGTGGGCGGAGTTAGTGCTAACATTCTATGATCCGCCCCCTGAACATTAGATCCAGATGCATACTTTTGAAAGTATACTTTACTGGATACACAGTACACTCATACACCAGCGTATACTGTAAGTCAGGGGAGAGCATCGGAAAAGTATACAAGAAGTATACTCAGCATACCATTCTTCTGGGAAGCTTTATAGCCGGAGCTAAAAAAAAATAGAAGAAAAGAAATCACTCGATTTACAGAAGCCAAGAGATGCCCTCCAGTAATCCTTTTCGTTTTCGAATTTTCATCCTACAGTAACATTTTTCATATTAGAAATTGTTTCCATACAGTACATCTTCTTCGTTTTCGAATTGTTTTTCTCAGTAATCCATTTCATTTCCCGCGAACTCCCATACAAACCATAGATGTCCGGGTTTTGGATTCCGTATTCTAAGGTAATTATTTTATTCCGTATTTCGTTTCTTTAAAAATGCACTCCGGACATCTCTGATACACACACCAGTGTGTACTGTAAGCCAGGGGAAGGAATCATTTTCATATACTGTATACTGTGCTGTACACAAAACAAGAGATCTACAAAAAATCTACTCACATGGAATGACTCCCAAGTGTTACCCTTGAAAAAAATTGAGACCTATATGGTTCGAAAGAGCGTAAAAAGTTATTTTAGAATCCAAAAGGAATAGTTGATAAACAATTTTTTTGGGGAGTTATGGCCCAAAACGTACCAAAAAATGGCTATATTTTCAAAAAATCATAACTTTGTCTGTTTTTGTTCGTTTGTTTAGATTTAAAAAACAATGAATAGACAATTTATTGATCTTTTGGAAAATTTTTTATTTTTATTTTTTTCTCATTGTTTTTTGAAAAAACCGAAAAATTTTTCAATATCTCAAAAATCCCAAGTTAACTTTTTTTTTATTACGACCATTGAACTCAGCACGTTTGATTTACTATAGAAACATATCAATACCCCGGGGGAAATCATGCTCACACAATTTTTGCCGAAAAATGTCGATTTTTGGCACTTGGCTGCTTTGAATTCGTTGTCCTCGGCGACCGGTATGGTGAGGGGCACATTTGTTTTTGTAAGGGGGCCTAACTTAAAATTCTGTTCAAGCCGTTGATAGAATTAGGTTCTTCTAATTATGTTTAAAAAAGTTTGGCTGTTTTCATCAAGTTTGACCATAGATATGCCCTATTACATGTCAAAATTCACTAAAAATAGGGATTTGGCTGTAATAATCGTAAATATTTTCATTTTTAGGGCCTAACTCGAAATTCTGTTCAAGCCATTGATAGAATTAGGTTCTTCTGATTATGTTTAAAAAAGAGTTTGGCTGTTTTCATCAAGTTTGACCATAGCTATGCCATCAAACGTGCTGAGTTCAATGGTCATAATAAAAAAAGTTAACTTGGGATTTTTGAGATATTGAAAAATTTCTCGGTTTTTTCAAAAAATCAATAATCCAATCAATGAGAAAAAAATCAAAAAAAAAATTTTCCAAAAGATCAATAAATTTTCTATTCATTGTTTTTTTAATCTAAACAAACGAACAAAAACAGACAAAGTTATGATTTTTTGAAACTATAGCCATTTTTTGGTACGTTTTGGGCCATAACTCCCCAAAAAAAATTTTTATCAACTATTCCTCTTGGATTCTAAAATAACTTTTTACGCTCTTTCGAATTATATAGGTCTCAATTTTTTTCAAGGGTAACACTTGGGAGTCATTCCATGTCAGAATATTATTCTTCTGGGAAACTGCAAATAACCGGATCTAAAAATAAGCAGAGAAGACATTCATTGAACCAAAGAAGCCAAGAGATACTGTAGTTTTTGATTTTCATTTAGCTTAAAACAAACTTTTTTCATGTGTCAACCTACATATTATGACGTGTAATTCCGAAGGTTTTTTTCATTACCTCTTTTTTCTTTTACTTTTTAATACTAATCCAATTTTGAATCTCTTACCCCTAACTTCAAAAACACGATTATTTCAGAAATGAAACTTCAACTTTTTGTTCTCCTCTCTACTCTTCTCTTGCTTCTTGTGTCTGCCAAACAGACAAAGATCCCAGAAGACGTTGCAAAAGGAGAACAGTTGGTTCGAAAAGTGTTGAAAGGAATCGAGCTGAGAGATCGTAAGATTGTCGGAAGCGTATTCGAAGACTCCTTCGTTTACGAGGGATGTAAGAATACAAAACTTGGAAAAAGTAAGAAACATCGAGAGGATTTTCTAATTCGAAATTCAAAACTTGATTTTCAGAAGAGGTGATGGATATGATCGGATCTACGGATCTTCCAATGGCCAGAGTTTTGGAGAGCAACACTCAAATTTTGTACATCGGATCCCACAAGTTCGGCACAATTACTACCGATTTTGGAAGATCTACCGAATCAGAATTCGTCGTTTCGAAGAATTGGAAACTTCAATCAGGAAGAATGACTTCTTGTTAGGAATTCAGAAGAAGAATCAGAAAACAGCAATCTTCCAAGTCTTCGTTTTATCAAATAAATTAGTTTATTATGGATATCAGATTTCTATTTTTTTAATCACGACAGAATCTTTTGTCTCATCGAACTTTCCGGAATAACATTGGTATGATCCTGAACGCAGTTGCTCTTCCACGCATGAACCCATCTCCATCTCGATCCAGTTGTCAGTCTGATTCTTTGGAAGTTCGCCAGAACGTCGTGATGCTGACCAAGGTATTCCACATGGATAGTGAATTGAATCCCGTCGTATTGACGAACGATGCGCATAGCATCCAAGAAGGCGTACTGGAAGTTAGAATATTATCTCAAAACTTTAAGAAAAAGCATGCCTTGATGACTGTCCCTGCTGCAAATGTGTTTCTAAACTTTTCCACTTTTGCCAGAAATTCGGCAGCTTCGTAATCATGACGACAATCATCAAAGGTGAATCGGACATCGAAATCATTGAATTCGGTATAGTTTCTTTGATCAAACGCATTCAGAAGCCTCGTGGCAAGTTTCATTGCTAACATATCGTTCACTGGATCAGGCGCCTGAAAATGTATTTCACTGTAAACCAAAAACGATAAACTTACAGAAGTTGCGCCTGGAATTTCAGCATTGGCAGCCTGAAATATAAATCCGAAGAAGAGAAGAAATGGCAATCGAGCCATTTTCCCTGAGAATGTGAAATTTCGGAATTAACATTGTTCTTTTGTAGGTCGGCAAAAATCAAAGAATGGGAGCTGCTCGACTTTCCCATTTTCGCTTGAGAATTGGGTTGAAGTCCCATGAAAAGAAAAGATGACAGATTCAGAAGGATTACTGTAGGGGGAAATATTCGGTAGGGGGAAATATTCAGTTTTTTTGTTTGTGAGCACTTCAAATATATCTTGTGTTATAATCTGGATATTTAAGCTGGGAAGAAAAGTTCATTGAAAGGAAAAAACGAATTGAGATTACTGTGTTGAGAGAAGAAGAAGAAATCAGTGGCATGGTGACATCTGCAATTAAAAAATAATTATATTCAAATCCTCTCTCTTAGTTACCTATTTCCGATGTTTCTTTGTCCTGTGTGAGTGATCGCTTCCCTTGGGAGCTCTGCTGGATTGAACTGCTTTTGATTTCGGTCTCGAACTATCCACATCTTTTTTCGACGCAGTTTTCGTAGGTGGACGACGTTTCGAATCATTTTGAACATTTCGTTTCGATGCAGTTTTCGACGGTCTCGAAGACTTTATTTCTTGTTTTGACACAGATTTTCTAACACTTGGCTGCTGTTCGATTTTCGTTTGTTTAATCGATTTCTTCGACTTCTTTTTCTCCACTGGAGCATCATTGGAAGATGGATAGTACACAGATTTTTGATCAGGCTGCATGGATGGTTTCGAAAGTTCTCCATAGCTCGATTTTCCAGTGTCAAGATACACAGATCTCATCGGAGCTTCCGATGAAATTTGAGGAGGTGCCCTAGTTTCATCCTCGATTTTTATTGACTTTTGAGAAGGAGCTTTCTTCACTTCTTCATCAGATTTTCCTACTCCGTCTGTCATTCGTTTCTCTCTGGCTGTTCTCAAAGATCTCTGCGACGCTGATCTTCTGGCTTGTTGTGAATGACGAGCATCTTTCGAGCATTGTCTCTTTCGGCACCCTTCTTCATTGCAATTGAATCGATCAGAATTGGCATTAGGGGACTGAAACTTTGTAGATTTATTCTGAAATCCATGATCACTTACCACCAGGGGTTTCGGTTCCATCCGTCTCAAGGCATCCGCTCTCAACTTGCTCATTCCACGTTCAGTCTTCTCCACATTTCTACTGCCGGATTTCCGTTCGACCTGATTAGATCTAGCACTTTTTCGTTCGCTGGATCTCCTTTTGTCACTTTCCTCTCGTTTGCTCCCATGAAGACTCTTCTCACTTCCACGATTGCTCACTTTATTATCACGGCTACTCTTTTTTCTATCCAGCTCTTCATTCATATTTTTTTCATACTTTCTACTTCCCTCTCCTTCTTTTCTAGAACTCTTTTTTTTACTCAATGGGGCTCCTTTTTCATCAATCTCATCATATTTATTGCTGCGAGAACTCTTCTTTCGCTCCAAACCACCTCCATCCATTGGTGCCACAGTTGATCTTTTACTTCTGGATCGTTCTTCTTTTGCATTATCCCTGGAACTTTTCTTTCTAGAAGGTTCTCTGTTGTCTCCATCTCTGTCTTTTTTCGATCTGTTACTTTTGGAACTCGGCTTCTTTTCCAACGGAATGACACCTCTTGCTGATTTCTGTGATCCATCTGTCGATCTCTTGCGTCTAGAACCTTTTTCTCTGTTGCTTTTAGAGCTCTTCCTTTCCCCTCGATCTCTGTCATTCTCCTCTCTTCTACTTCTGGATTTCTTTCTATCCAAAGGAACAGGAACAAGAGCTCCCTTACTTTCTCTAGAGCGACCCTTCTCACTGCGAGAATTGTCTCGATGATCCTTTCCGTTTCTTCCATTTTCTTCACGAGAACTCCCCTTTCCACTTCGAGAACTTTTTCTGTCCTCTCGAAGACTATGAGAGCTCTTGTTTTTACTCAAATCCTTTCCGTTTTTTCCAGAACTGTCCCCTCGTTTGCTGCCATGACGACTCTTTTCACTTCCACAATTGCTCATTTTCTTATCACGAGAACTTCCTTTTCCACTTCTAGAACTGTTTCTATCCCGTTTATTTCTGGAACTTTTCTTTTTGCTCAAATCTCGATTGCTTTTTGAACTTCGATTCTTCTCAAGAGCCATCGACTTCTGACTGCGTTTACTATCTCTTTTGCTCCGAGAGCTACCTCTATCATCATCCCTGCGATCCTTATCAATTGGTTTCTGACCTCGAGAACTTCCTCTTTTCGAGTTCCTCTTTTCAGAGGCTTCTTTCCGACTTTTCTTGCTCTTCGAACTGTTACTTTTACTCTTACTTCCCCTCTTCTTCTTTTTATGTTTCTTACTTCGTTTTTGGCTCTTTTTACTTTTCTCACTTTTCACTTTTCTCAACTTTTTCTTGCGTCTTGAACTCGATTTCTTTCCCTTATCACTCCGATTTCTGGAACTTTTCGATCGTTTGGGCCTCTTTGATCTCTTCGATTTTGATCCTCGGTTTCTGAAGTTTTCCCGATGTCCAGCAGTGCAACCGATCGAAATGACGGCTCCAGTGATGGAGGCAGTTGCAGCGAGACACACTTAAAAACAACAAAATTTTTTGAAGATTCCAAAAAAGGTTCTCAAAACTTACAGTAATTCATGACATCTTGCAGTTCTTCCGGCTGCAAACTCATTGTAGTATCGAAATAGAAACTATGAACTGATTTGGGCGTTTGATAACATGGAAAAGTTGGAAGAAAAATCGAGGTGACGTGGAGGTTCGAGCGTTACTCAAGACGCAGTTTTTGAAAATACATGTTTCATTCGCACAGCTTAAGAAAATCAAAAATATGATCAATCTGTGGAAAACTGTTTCTATTTTATACACTAAAACTAATAAGTTTACAGTAACCTAGTTTCATTTTATATTCTCGGAGACAATAAACGAAAGATAATCAGAGCTAGAGACAATCTCGCAAAATCTCCCTTTCCCTACACTAATCCATTGTTTTTCGTTTTCGAATACTTTTCTCTACAGTAATCTTTTTCATTTTCGAGTATTTTCCCCCTACAGTAATCCTTTTTCAATTTTCGAAAAATGTTTCCTTTAGAGTAATCCTTTTTCCTTTTTTATCCCCCTACAGTAATCCATTTCATTTTCGAATATTTTTCCCTGCAGTAATTCTTTCCTTGATGTGATATCTGACAGACGAAAAAGTTTATTAAGTATTTTTACGATGTCTATTTGGGTATACCGTATACTGTACCCTACATGCCTAAATACTGTATATTCCTTGTAATTTTTACAATGATGACTTCAATTGGTTGGTCAATGATTTCCAACAATTAAGGGAAAGTTAAGAAAAAAAAAATCAAAAGTTAAATCAAAAATATATTCTTAAAAACTGACAAAAAATGGGAAAAGGATACACATCTTCCTTATATATAAAACGCTAGACGCGTCTGTCTGTCCCGGTGTCAGACTGTCTACTTTTTAAAAGCTTGGAAAATTAATATGGATTCACGTGACCCTTTAAGAAAAATTAACCTGTAAGAAACAAGGTTAAATCGCGCCGAAGACGCACCAGCTTGCTGGTGAATAATAAAAAGACTTTTCATCTAAAAACTGTTTATTTCTGAAATTTGATAAAAGAAACCAAAAATGAACGAGGATGAGAATAAGGGAATAGTATTTCAAGTAGGTATTCATCCGATGGCTCCACCCATAAAAACATTTTCAGACCGGATATGAACTGCCATCACAGCAACGTGTCATCATGCAAATAGCAAATTTGAGACTTCATGCTTGGGGAGTTTTCAGTAATGTCTACAGAGGAACTCTAGTGTCACCTGGAACTGAACAGGAGATCGCAATTAAGAAAACTTGGCCAAGTGGGATAAATCAATGTATTCTGGAAGATTTTTTTTTATTTTTCAGAGACACCTGAACGCAATTTCGAGTTGCTATTTCTATCAGGAATAAGAAGGAAGCCTCATAAAAATGTAGTTCAAATGCTGTCACGTGGCAATTATTTGAAGGAATACGGTATCTGCAGTCTCATATGATTGTCCATCGTGAAATAAAACCAGTCTTCTTATTGATGTTGATAGGGGAATTTTAAAAAACGCCGACTTCGGAAGTGCCAAGATAGTGCAACGTGGCAGTCACTCAACGTCTTATCAAGTGACTCGATTCTATCGTCCTCCTGAATTACTTTTAGAATCAAAAGAATATTATTGGATGGTTGATGTCTGGAGTGCTGGATGTGTTGTTGGAGAAATGATGAAAGGAAAAGTTTTGTTTCCGAGTACAGCGAGAGATATGATGCTGAAATTGATTGCGCAAGCAATTGGGATTCCATCTCCGAGAGATCATGATTATATGAAAGTCGCAAAGATGATTGATCCAGTTTCAGATGTCAAAGTTATTGGATTCAATGATGTTTTGTGAAAAAATGTATGTCGAAATTATTTTCCCGTTGTACCAGGTCCTAGGCGACGTGAGCCAGGAATGGGCTGATTTCATTGGAGAGATTCTTCGTTACCGTCCTCGTGAGAGACTTCATGGACCAGAACTGCTTGCCCACACCTTCTTCGATCAGATATTCACGTGATCTCATATTTTATGATTTTAAGATCACAGAATCTCTTCACATATTTATTGTCCAAAATTTGCTTTATCCAATGGCCTTCTAGTTTCTCAAGAGATAACTCTGGAGGATTACAAAACAGCACAGTCCATTTTTTTCTAAACTTTATTTCTTCCAAAAAAAAAATTCCAGGCGAAACGACTGTGTAGCTGGAAAACAATATGCGATGTCCGTCCTTCGAAACGAAGTGAAATTCACATTAAAAGATGCTCTCCCGACTCCAGTTCCTGTGGAAAATTCGAAAGAAAATAAAGATTACAAAGAATCGAAAGAAGTGGTGAAAGATGGAAAAGAGGTGAAATTGCCGAGTGCATGTCCTAGCAATACGAATATTACATCTCCAACTGCTGTGGTGTCCCTTAAGAGAACTTTGAATGCTTAATTTTTTTGAATAAAGCTGTTTTTTGAAAATTCCTTTCTAGTCAGACATATTGTTCTAGTACAAAAAAAATCGGAACTGTGGATGAGAAACGCCGGTGGTCTTGTCCGAATTTGCCGAAACGACAACTACCGTAACCTAAAAATAATGTATTTTTCCGTATTTATTTTCTCATTTATCACTGTCCGCCACCTTTTTCCTTTTAATCGAGTAGGTATCACGTACCCCCATTTTCGACATTTTGTAGAAATTTTTTTGAAGAATCGTAACTAGGTCAATTCCGGTCCGTTTTGGCTGATTTTTTTTACGAGTTTTCGATTATTCTTCTACAAGTCGGAAGATAAAACTTTTTGATAGTGAAAAAATTGAATAAAACGCGAAAGTAAATCCGGGAAAAAACATTTTTAGGTTACGATAGTTTTCTTTGTGGGACCTTGGGCCGCGGCCACAGGCATTTCACAAATTTAAGTAGTATAGAAAAAGTTGTTTCTGGCGCACCTTTTTGCCCAAATGCGATTTTTGCAGATTTTCAACATTTTAAAAACATTTTTTCATTGAAAATCATACTTAATTCCCCCAAAATGTGTCATTTTTGAAAAATGACCAAAATATGTCTGGCGCACCACTTACCCATTTTGCCCACTTTTAAATTTTTTAGACTTTTCAATGATTTTATCGCTATTAAATGAGCTTTTCCCAAAATCTTAAACCTCTGACAAATTATGATCTCTTAGAATTAGTAGACACACTAAAGATAAAAAATTTCCGTGGTGTTTTTATGCGAAATACTTTGCCTACAAAGATTAAAAATAAAGAAGTAGGTATTGTAAATTTAGATTCTTCTAGTGGAAAAGGTACTCATTGGGTCTGCTACTCCAAGAATAAAGAAAATATTTATTATTTTGATTCTTTTGGATTGAATCCACCAGAAGAAATCATAAAATACCTTAAAGATAGAAAAGATAGAAAAATAGAACTTTCAACATTTCAAATTCAAAAATTCAGAACCCACCATTGTGGTTATAATTGTTTGTTATTATTGAAGCTATTAGAGACTTCAGAAGACTTCAGAAGTGCCATTTTATTTCTTTTATAAAAGATTCGGTTTAATATTGACATTTCCAAATGCCATTGTCGAGTGACTATCTTTAATAATATAACGTTTATGTTCTGTAGAAACTTCATCATTATTGAGAGCTACTTTATTCTGACATTGTGTGAAAATAGTGTGTTTAACACTCCTAATAGTATATTGAGTCTTTCTTACAACAGTCTTATTGAAAAGGCTGTGCTTATAATCATCGACAGTCAACTCATTCTTGACAACATTCTTTTTAACACCTTTACTTTTCTTAGTTTCATCACCATCTAGAGTCTTAAAAGCATATTGTTTAGGCTTTAGAGCAACTATTTCAGTTATAATATTTCCATTCAATTCATCTTTAAATTTTCCGACAACTTTCTTATTCTCTGTGCTATGAAGTACATGATCTTCCGAATAATCACTGAAATCGAAATGTCTTCGAAAATAGATATCTTTTTCCACATCTTTGTAAAAATCTTCAGTCTTGATGTCATATATGAGACTGTCAGTATCTTGGTAACATAACTCTACATTTCGATATTTCTTCTGCATAACATTGTAATGAAAGTCGTGCATCAACCACTTACTCAGATCTAGAATAGCAAAACCTATATAAATCGGTTTATCAAGAACGATATTAGTTTTCTCCATTTCTACAGCAGATAACTCACTGTTATACATGATGGTTCTTTTGTAGTTAGGTTTTGAGGCTAATTTTATTATTTTATCTTCATCTGTAACTAAACGGACATCAACTCTTTCTCTAACATTTTCCATTGTTTTACCGAAAACTGAGTTATTCATAAGTTTGAAAAAATCTTTCTCAAAATCATTTTTAGCTGTTTTTCGAAGATTAGTATTCATTTCAATGTAAGATTCAAGCCATTTACTCTCCTTAAAAGTAAGGATTCGATGTATCTTTTTAATTTTTAGTCCTAATTGCAGACATTGCAACACGTTTTCATTATGAATAACATATTTCTCTTTATCAAATAATGTATTACACAACTTTTTTACAGTTTGTTTATTAATTTTCACATTTTCTGGACACAGTGGAAAATCATTGTGCTTTGAGTGTAAATCCTTAGGATATTCCAAATCTACTTCGAAAATACATCCTTTACCTAAATTTTTCAAATAATCAATATAATCCTCTATTTTTAATCTCTCATCATTGAGAACATCAATTAAAGACTGAATAACAAACTGGAAATCTCCTGTAGGTAATTTTTGTTTCATGGCCCAACCATAAAGATTATTAGCATCTAAGTACATCAGATAATTTGAAGGAATTGAAGGATCAAAAGTATTAGTGTATTTATTATTAACCTTAGAGTATCTTTTGACAGCATTAACAATACCACCCCTTATTCCCTTCTCAATCATCAGGTATTTCTCAACATCTTGAAGTACTTCTAATTCTACTTTAGTCTTTTTTAACATAGCATCCCGAGCTAATCCCGGACTTGTGAAATACCAACAAGGATCAAGCTCATAAACCCTGAGACTTAAGTTTCTAAAATTCTCAAAAACATCAGCTAAAAGAAGGACATCATTGATCATATAAATTCTAGTATAATCTTCTAAAGTAGAGCAATTCATTTTATTCCAAACTAGCTTAGCATATAAATAATCTTTTTGTGAACATTCTTTCCCATTGAGTTTATCATAAAATAAAGAAATATGAGGTAGTTTCATTTCTTGAAATCGCTTGAAAGAATCCATGTACTCATATGGATATACACCTTTTCTTTGCATCAATTCAAATTTTTCAACAACTTCTTTGCAAGAAGAATAGTAATCTTTACTGATTTTGAAATTATCACTGGTCATGTTCTGAACAAGTTTATCTAGTGAGGATGGTGTAAAAGAAAAATAATCTAGAAATCTACACTCCATTCTATCATAAAAGTTATTTGTCTCTGAAGGTAATTTATAACTGAAACTAATAAATTTTTCTGTATTAGTAGAGATATTTGATATTTCAATGTCATGCATACATAAATATTTAGTACTTTCAAGACATCCAACAATCAGATGAGAGTCATAACCTCTAAGATTGTGAAAGAATATAGGAATAAAATTATTCTTTCTTTTCGCTAAATTACAAGATCCACAAAGAGGTCCACGATATTCTCCAGTCCAATGATCATGATCTCTAACTTTAGTAGTTTTCATATTTTTAGAGTTGTATTTAATCTTGCAATTAGGACACTCTTTGTTTTCATTGTAATCTGTCCATTCTTTTTGACTTAATTGTTTCATTCTCACATTACCTAATTTCAAAATTTCTCGAGATATTTCAATGATGTATTTGTTGAACTCTAAAGCAGCATCATATCCGATGTAGGATTTTTTAGCATAAATTTTTTTTTCATAAGAATCAACTAAAACAACACAAAATCCAGCTGGAATGTGTTTTCCAACATCAGTAGTCCAAGATTCTTCTGGATTATTCAATTGTGTGTAATATTTTTTGATAATACTTTCGAAGTCTGCGTAAATAACGTATCTATGCTTTTGGGTTTTACCAATATTTTGGAATTTGATATGTTTTTCAGAAGATAAATTGTGTTCTATTGGTTTATTTCTACCACAATCCTCCAAGTGTCGGTGATAATTCGATCTACTTTCATTATTAATATTAACATTGTAGTAACAATGACATCTGACACAAAATATTTTTTGATGTTCTCCTTGTTTATTTAGTAATTTATTCAGATTTTTTATAAGACAATAATGAGAATTTCCTTCACTATTTTGGTGATAGAATAGATTTACTACTCTACTATTATCAGAAGTAATTCTTCTTGAAGATCTCAGTCTATTGATATTCTTGCTATTTACATTGAAGTCTTCAGTACATTCAAAAACATTAATTACAAGATCATTCATTTTTTCGAACTTATCTATGTCTTTAATTTTTATTGGAAATGTTAGATCTCCAAAGTTAAGTTCATTTTCAAAAGGAATATACTTAGTAACTCTTTCTGAATCCCGATCAGCAGGATGTAAATGTGCTAACACAGACCACATAAAACACTTATTATCATTATTCTTGATATTCACCACAGCTTTCTTATTTTTAACCCATTCAGGTAGTTCTATATAAGCAGAACCACTAGGTGAATTACACATAGTTTGATTCATCTCAAGGTAATTTATTCCTGAAATAGTCCAACCAGAACCTCTTGATTGCAAATTCTCCATGTTCATCATCAGTTCTTGACAAGCATGATGATACCATTCTTCTCGATCTTCACCAACACACAATTCCTTAGTTTCTGATCTTACAGCAAAGTTTTCACTTTTTTGAGAGTCTTTCTTTTGCTTGAATTCTAGTTTAATTTAATTTAATTTAATTTATTTTTATTTCAACGAAGGGGAGAAAACCACTAACACGTGAAATGTCTATGAAACTAGGAAATATAACAGGGACATACATTTGTAATAATTGGGAGATGAAGGAAAAAACCGAGTTAGTAATTAGTTGAATTCAAGACAAGAAAATGTTTTAGATCACAGGATAATAGTCGATTTTTGAAAGCCGCTGACGAGGGCTTCACCGGAAACACTTTGGCGGGTAAAGAGTTCCAACAACTGATTACTCTATTAGAGAGAAATTGAGAAGATATTTTTGTTGAGTTTTTGATAAGTGATTTGAGATAGTATTTGTGACGTCGCAATGATCCAGCATGATTAAATATTTCGAAAATTGGAATCTCCATGATAATTTCTTTGGAAACAATAATTTTCTACGTGTAGACCAAATAATTATAGAGCCTGCGATACTCCAAGGAACTTAGCTGACATTCTTCCAGTGCTTCAAAGTATGAAGTGTATGCCATCCTGAATTTTTTGAAAATTCTGAAAACAAATGACTTTTGCACCGATTCCAATTTTATTATATGATCCTTTAGGATTGGAGAAGTGACTATCGTTCCATATTCGAGTAAAGGGCGTATGTAAATTGTATAGCATTTTATAAAAACACTCCACGATGCGTTTTTTAGAATGGAAAAGAACATGTTGATCCTCTGATGTGATTTCCGAATAATCAACGAATAATGATAATGGAAACTCAAGTTACTGGAAAAGTAGATCCCAAGATCACGTACATTTTCCACAGGGGGAATCAAAGCTTGATTTAATTTGGGATTCATAACATTGGAGTTGGCATATTTTCTTGTTGCATTGAATTTGATGTATTCGCACTTTTTAGGAGCCGCTTTCATTTTCCACTTCGAGCACCAATTCTCCAATTCAATAAAATCTGCATCAATCAATCTATCATTCGTATTATAAATTTTCAAGTCATCTGCAAACAGTAGATAGTCACTTTGAAATTTGTCACCAATACAATTAATATATAACAAGAAGAGGGTAGGCCCAAGAACGGAGCCCTGCGGGACTCCGGACAATACGCGCCTCTCCTTCGATAGTATATCATTGATTTTGACTTGAAATTTTCTGTCCGTGACAAATGAATGAAGCCAATTTCTTAGTTTGGGAGATCTTTTCAGAAATATTGACGGGATACTATCCGGAGAAGTATTATTTCGGCCTTTCAGTTTATATAGTAATATCTCGATATTCTCCGGCGTGAATATGACATCTGAGCTGAATTTAGAAGTTAGATTCCCTGTAGCAGGAAGGATATCTTTGTCAATGTTGAAAAATTCACTGAAGCAATCTCCAAATATTTCGGCTTTTCCTTCATCACTCATGATAAATTCTCATTAGATTTATATCGTATTGCCGGTATATCACTGTTTCCTTTAAATTTCGATTTCATAAATCCGAAAAACTTTTTTGATCCAGAATTCAGACGTTTATAGATTCTTTCTTCTTCAGATTTCACGAGAGACCTTTTGAATAATGCTGAAACATGTTTATACTCGTCCGAGTTACCTGCTTTCTTCCAAATCAATAATTTCTTCTTTAGTAATTGTTTGGTTTCTTTGGAATAAATTATATTATGAATTCGATGAGTTTCTGTTGGTACAAAAGATTCAATAAGCTCCAGAATTATTCCTCTCAAATCATCAAACATTTCATCAATTGACATTGTTGAAAATCGTAAATCCCAGTCGATATTTGAATATAATTCATCGATCTAAAATCTCCTTTTTTGAAATTTTTCGTTGATTTGAGGGGTGAAATAGAATTAAGCAATAAAAAGGTATCAATCTCAATCCTGCAATGGTCACTGAATTTCTCACCAACAATGACATCACGAATAATGTCCATGGAATTAGTGAACACCAGATCCAATATATTTGGTGGTTCGAGTCTTGTTGGATTTTGTACAAATTGCGTCAGGCCATTATAAAGCGAAAAGTCCAACAGTGACTGGCATTGAGAATCAGATGCTGTATATGAATTCCAATCAACATGGGCACACTTGAAATCTCCAGTGATAATAGATGGAATTTCAGTTGACAAGAGTATGTTAAGTGATTCTCGAAGGTCCTTAAAACAGTAGTTGTGATTCGGATTGTAACTTACAATTAATCTTGTAGTTTTGCCATGTATTTTGATATCCTCAGATAGAATTTCAACGGATTCAAGATGTGTCGGAAGTGATACTACCGTATAATTGATAGGCTTCTTGATTAGTATGGCTAGACCTCCGCCATGTCTGTTTCGATTACAGCATATTTTTCATCAAGAGATAGCAGGGAGTCAGGATAGTTTGAATCAATTTTAGTTTCCACTAAACAGAGAATATCGATGTTGGAATTAGAAGACCATAGATCGAGTTGGAGGACTTTGTTCTTAATTGAGCAGCTATTGGTATAACCAATTTTTAGAAATTTTCTGGGATCGAGTGTTTTTTGGCCCATGGCCACGGCTCCTGATTTTCTCTGTAGACAACTTCGACGACTTCCAGATTGCGAACCGTATAAATGGTTTGACCTGCCTCGTTGTTCTTTTGGATCACCGTTTTCCAGGATTGTCGATATTTCTCGAGTTCTGGTTTGGAGAGGTCTGGGCGGGGAGACGCATTCAAGCACCCCTGTATTGAAGCCTTGATTGAGTTGAATTTGGTGAGGACAGTTCTTGCTTCCTCCTTAGTTCTTGCTTCCTCCTTAGTTCTTGCTTCCTCCTTAGTTTCAAATATATTTTAACTGAAGTATCACTTCTGATATCATTAATTACAAAATTTTTGTTCTTTTCGAAGAAAGAATTCATTATTTTTGTAATGATTTTCATGTAATATTCAATTCCTCTTTTCTCAAAAAGGTCAAAGTATTTATCAAAATTTAGATCTTTACTTTTGTTTCTATAGGTTGTTGTTCTTACAATTCCTTTTCTAGTTTCTTTGTAATCACTAAAAATAAGATCATCATAAGGAAATATTTCTTTAAGCGGAACATTTGGAAATGTTCTAATTTCAGCTTGGTTTACTTGTAAATGTTCTCTAATAAATGTCAGAAGTTCTGGGGTACTCATAGATTTTAATTGTTGTGATTTTAGGATTCTTTTACTTTTTACACCTCCGGACATTATATCAAGAAGTTTAATGACTTCTTTACGAAGATCATCTCTTGACATTGAATTGAAATGATCCATTTTTTTAGAAGTAATTAATTTTTCAAAATTTTAAAAGAGGATGTAGGACTTCCTTTTATATAGAAAAATTTTTTTAAACAAAAATTCAAATTTCGGATTCAGCGAAAGTAATGTCTTTAAACTTCATTATGAAGTCAATCATTTCTTGTTTTCTCATAGTTTGGATTTCTTTGGATTTAAGAATGTATTTTCTCAATTCACTTCCAATCATTGCAACTTTTCTACGAACTTCATCTCTTTTCATTTTCTTTAGATCTTCTTCTTCAACAGGTGTTGAATTTAAAGAAAAATTTTGGAAACTTACTTCTTGAGTAATTTCTTCCATTTATAAATACAATAATTTTTTATAAAGATTGTAGATCTCCGGATTCTTCGAATTTAAATAAATTACTTTTTCAAAAAATGCCTCCAACTTCAGTAGAAAACTATGATCCCAAGAAAAGGAATGAAATAATAAATTCATTCTTGAAGAATAGAAAAGAACACAAATTCAAGAATTTAGAAGAGCGCAGCAATTTAGAAAACGTAGAAGATCATCGTATAGAAGTATTCAAACCCATACTAGAATCAAATAAGAAATTACAGGAAGAAATTATTGATGAAAAGAATAAGATAGTTCAAACTCTTAACTCATTTAAAGGATCTCCTTCGGATTCACTTGTGAAATTTAAAGGAGTAACACAGCAACAACAAATTCTATCACCTCCAGGAACTCCTACTAAACAAATCCAATCCGCACCAAGTAAAACTTCGGAAATCAAAGTTAGTGGTCTAATTGCTACTTATCTTCAAGATCCTAGAGATAAAAGTAATGCAGGATACTCAATAAGGTATAATAATGATACTAAAGGCTATTCAATTGGAAATAAAGAAGTAAGCTTTGATGACAATACAATGGAAATCAATAATTGTGTTTACATTGCAACTCCTGGTCTAATGGAATTATTAACTAAAAAATCTCCAAATTTGAGTAAAATTAAAAATGATGATATTCAAAATTATCGAGAAATCTTACTTTGCTCAGATGCACTGTATCAAAAATTTGATAAAAGTAGTAAAAGATATAATGCTGATGCTAGTGATAAATGGAAGTTTATTAAAGATAATTATTTTGTAACCAAAGGTCAAAGTAGTCAAAGTAGTCAAAGTAGTCAAAGTTCTTCAGGAAGTTCAATACAATATAAAATTGAAAAATACAACTTTTTACCTCAAGATATCAATGCTCTTATGGATTCTTTAAGATTATCAATAGGTTCTTATCAAGCTGGAAATAATGGAGAATACAACAAAATCCATGCAATTTTAGATGAATTAATTCATAGGAGAAAAATAAAAAAGAAAGATTTACCAAGTATTTATTTAGGCATTGGATTGTAAATCCTAATGACCTAAAGGAGTATTAGCTTGCTGACGCTGATGACGTTGAATAATGTTATTTTCTTTATTTATACCTTTCTTTACATATGCTCTTGAAACATTTGGAAAATCTTCAGAAACACTAACTTAAACTTATCAGCAAGAAGTGTATCATCTATATCTAGATCATTGAGAAAATCTAAACATTCTCGATTTGTTAATGTTTTCTTATTCTTTATAGTAAGAGCTAAATCTATTGAAGGAACTTTTACGATTTGTTCCTTTTGTTTCTCATTATACTTCTTTCTAAGCTCATTGTGTTCATCTCTTTCTTTTTGAAATGCGTTGTCTACTTCCTTTATCATCATAGATTTTTTCTTATTTGAAATTCCGAGACAATTGATTATTATACTCTTACATTCACTTTTGCATTCTGATGTCATATGTTTAGTAAAAGCAAACTTGTAATTGAATTTATCACTTGTGGATAATTTAGAACTATCTATGGTTGTTATCATTTTCTCTAAAGCATCTAAATAATTCTGAGCTATTTCTTTTGTATGTTCATTCTGAGTGTATTCTAGAATTTCTGAGAAATCTACATCTTTTGTTCCATCAAGCTTTTTAATATCAGTTACGAATTTAGATAACTTTAATTGATCTATTTCGTTAGGAGTTCTATTCATTTATATAAGTAAAAATTATTACACTCTTATAGTATCGTATTATAGTCTTATAGTATCGTATTATTGTATTTAAGTATTGTAAAATGGTTAAGTAATATGGAAATATGGAATGATAAGGTAATAAGGTATTTTGGTGTTTTGGTATTGTAAAAAAATATTTGTAATTAAATGGAAGTTGAAAAACTTATTGAAGAACTCAAAATCTATAACTTCAAAAAGAATAGTATAAATTCATCCCATCAGAAAACTGGTATTTCTCCGAAAACAATAAAGAAATATTTGGTTCAATATGATATACCACACAATTGTAAGGGTGTAAAACATTCTGGAATTAGAGACTCTTCAGGTAGATTTTGTATCAATTTTTCAAATGTTCAAGGACCTGTAAGACTTCAAGAAGAACCAAAAATTAATACTCCGAAGAAAACAGATCTCTTAAGAAATAAAAGAACACCTCAAGAACAAATAGAATTCATACAAAAGAGTATTAATTCTTTGAAGTAGATAAAAATCAAAGATTTCCTAGGCTTTTGTAATCAAAAGATATAAAAATACTTCAAACATTTCCTGAATCTTCCATCTTCCATGGGACTAGATTTATCAATTGTTAAAAAGTTGTACTTCGTAGACCAAACTTCTTTTGTAAATTCAAGAAATTCTTCCTTTTTTATTTCATTACAATGATCTCTGTAGATGTAATCCAAATTCATCTTATCTTGTGGGAATATTATAAAGAAGTTAGCGTTTTCTCTAATTGTATTCTTTGGAAGCTTTATATAATTCTGTGAAATGTAAAAACAATCAATTGAAGAATGCCTTCCTCTAGTATAATATTGTTCTATTTTATTTTGTTTTTCTAATAAAAGATCATCAAAAATTATTAGAGTCTTCTTATTTACATCTAAAGATGAAGGATCTGGAATGTCTTCTATTTTGTCAGAAGAATGGACTTCAATAATTTTTTGTGCCCTAGGGTCCTTTTCTTCACCTTGAGAAGTGGGATTCCTAGAAGGAATTTCAATAATGAAGTCTTGCTTTTCAAAGCACTTAGTAATTTCTTTTTTACTCAATCCTTCATTCATTCCATTAATTAATGCTTGATAACAAGGTTGAAATAAGGTTGTACTAAAGATATAAAGGTTATCATAATTAAGGTATTCTTCTCCTTTACCATTAGGTGAATCTAATAGCAAATTCATAAGTAAATTAGTCTTTCCACATCCACTCTTTCCAATAATACAACCTCTTATTGATTGAGGAAGTAAAGGATTATTATTTCTTTCAGGATAATAATTTTTGACACTATAATCATTAAATTCACTATTTGAGAAAGACATTCTTCTTTAGAAAATATTTTTTTTATTTAAATGACAACATTATTTCTCAATTTGCACAGAATTAATGAAAAAACATTTTATTTTGATTTTCCTCCAAGTAATAAAATAAATGAGCTTGCAGTAGTCAAAGTTGATGGTATTCTTCAGTTACTAGAAGGATCTGAAAGACATTCACCTGGTGAAGGTAATAAAAATCTAGATTTTGTTTATCTATCTTGCAATCTAGTTTGTGATACTTTTATCAATGAAAGACAAAGCAACGTTATTTGTAAATTTCCAATTCTTAAAGATAATGAAAAAATAAAAAATGAACCAATTAACCCAATTTATCACAAACTTACGGATAGACCAAATGTTTTAACTCTCAAGCTTGTTGACTCTTTGAATAATCTTATCGATTTCAATAGGTGTGATCTTCATGTAGAATTACACTTGAAAACAGCGTAAGCAACTCAAATCCTTTTAAAACCAGATCCACGTTTTAGAGCTCTAAGAAATGCTGCATTCTTTTTATTCAAACCTTCGGTTCTATTAGTATTCAACGATTTTTGAGTAATACTTGCTCCTTCACTTACTTTTTTATTGTTTTCTATTTTTTCTTCATCTAGATTGTCAACTAGTTGTATTTTATCTTTCTCTTTTGGAGTTATAATAATGAAACTCCTTTCGGAACTTGATGTTTCTTTGAAATCAGAATTGAAGAATCTCATTGTAAAATATTTGATTCTTAGGATTTTGTATTAAAATTTAATAAGTGTAAAAAGTTTAAGATAAAATATTTAATCAATCTAGGAATCTTCGATTTAGTCTACAACAAGAGATCTCCTATGTTCATTTCTGAAATCTTGCAGTTCAACACCTTGATAATCTTCACCTTGGAAATGATTCCTACTTTTCACAAAAATTGGATTCCTATTTCTCGGATTTCTATTTTCCTTGTTGAAAAAGGTTTTTGGAGAAAGGACCATCCAAATAGATCTACCTATGAATATATAAAAGAGAGTAACACCAATAGTTACATAAATCCTCCATATCTTGATGTAATACTTCTCAAAGATGCTAGAAACTTCATCTAATATTTCATGAGGAATCATTCCATCTTGACTATTTGAGTGTAGATCAATGGATACATCAGCTTTTTCACGCATCTCATTAATTAATTCTTCCTCAATATTGGTCTTAGTATCAAGGAGAATATGCTCATGAAAGATTATCTTGTTATCTAAGAAATCTAAATTGAAGTCAGTGAAGCTTTTAATATTTGTTATTTCATCTTTTCTTGGATGAAATTCTGGATGCAATATAATTTTATCTGAAATTATTCCTTTTTGTGAGTAATACCAAATTTTGTCTCCAAGGGATCGTATTTTAATAGGAATTTGTCCTTGACTAAGAGCTATACTTGTCTTGAATCCATCAAAATGCGTTAGATCTATGAATTCAATTTTTTCATCTTCTAAAGATTTACAAAACGTTACTTCTACAACATCGGCGTTAGCACTAGCAAAGCTTTCTTGAGAAATAAGTTGAACTCTTATTGCTGAATGATTTAGTTGTTTTTGAATGTATCTTCTAGGATTCTCTCTTATTAGTGTTTCAAGAAGACTGGAGTGTTCATTAAATATATCACACATTACTTCAGTTGTATGTCTCAAAAGATTATTTGATTTGTTCTCAAGGTATTGAAACTCTCCAGCTGCTTGAAAATCTGAGTAAACTTGTCTTCTTGTTCTTTTAGATTTTCTATTTTCAAATTCTTTTAGTGCATATTCAGCAAATTTAGTAACGTATTCATCATAACTTGGAAAAGTATCACAAGCTTCTTTAGTTTTGACGAAATCGGAGATTTCTTTATCTTTAGACCTTAGGTAATCAGCATAACTTCGAAGCAGTAAACAATCATTTTTAATCTTTGAGTATTCTTCATAAGTAGGTAATGGAAACGGCCTAGAAGTGTCTTCTAAACTTTGATTTGCTTCTAGGAAGCTTTGCTTCCGCTTTGTAGATTTTTTGATCCTATTGGTAGTATTCGAATTCACAGAAGTAGTAGTATTCAATAATCCTTGTCTTTCCATTTTTTCCTTCTTTCTCTTTTCGAACTCTAGATATTGCTTCATTTTTTCTTCTCTTCTCTTCTCAAATTCTTTACGATCAGCTTCGTATTTATCTCTTACTTCTTTGTCTTTTTCCGTTTGGAGTTTCTCACAAAGTTCTCGATCCTTTTGGATTTGTTCTTGTTGTCTTTTATAATTTTCTTCTATTTCTTTTTGAAATTTCTGAGGATTAATACTCATTTCTTGAAGACTAGGAGTTGATGTTAGGGCTTGTGGAGTAGGAAGTTTTTGAATTTCCTTGACTGCAAAACCTTCTTCACTAATTAAGAGATTAAGATTACAATCTCTGATTATTTTACTCTTATTGAGACTTAAAGCAATTTGATTTTGACTATTAATCCGAAGACCATTATTCATGATTCCATCTAATTTACCAATTGAAATATATTGACACTTCTGATCTTTATTGACATCCCAAATAATAATTTCATTCATCTTCCCAGGTTGACAATAACCATCCTGATATTTACAATTACTTAAGTCGGAGAGAACATTAGATGGTCTACTTTGATTGAAGTGTGAATATACTTTAGTTTCCATAATTACACAATTCTCTTTGTAATATCTTTTGCTTGTAAAGAAACTAGTAAATCGATTTGGATAATCTTCATTCACTTTATTATTTGTACTATATATTCCTTCTTTACCTTTCCCTAAACTTCCATATTCACATTTCTTATTTGCAATCCATTCTCTACATTCTGCAACACTTATACTTCGATGATTTAACTCCTTTTCTGCTAAGTGCTCATATCCGGAAAAATCTGTATACATTGATACTTCACTAACTAATTTCTTACACAACTTAGCTTCACTTGAGTATTCGATAATGTTCGGTTTGAAGACTTCATAACTTACTACTTTTGATTTTTCATTCAATTGTCTATGGTAATTACATTTGTGTAATTTTGGTAATTTAAAGTATTGAACTGGAGCATCAGAAGAACATATAATAGCCGCCAAAATATCATAATGAGTAAATGTTAAAAAGAAATAGAATTGCAATAGATTCATTTACTTCAGAAAATTTATTTTAAATAAATTGAAAATTCGTTCAAGATAAAAATGACTGTTGAAGCTGTTGATAGAATTTTGATTGTTGATAGTCCAATTGTTCAGGATACTTCAATTCAAAAAGAAAATTTGATTAGCATATTTCCTTCTAGTGGTAGTAGTTTAAATCAACATGGAGAAATTAATTTTATCATAGAAACTTGTGATCAATACCTTCTACTACATAAATCTCACATCTACTTAGAAGCTTCCTTGACTAAATCAGACTCTACAGCTTTAGCTGAAGCTGATGAAGTTACACTCTCCAACAATGCTCCAATGTTTTTATTTGATAGAGCAACTTATAGTATGGATGGTATGCAAGTTGAAAATGTCATTGATCCTGGAAGAGCTTCACTTATGAAAGGCCTCCTTACTTATTCTTCCACAATGAATAAACAAAATACTTTTGGTTGGATCCTCGAGACTAAGGATATCATGAATTATAAGATAAATAAATACACTAAAAATAGAAAAGGCATACTTACTTTTTGTATTCCACTGACTCATATTTTTTGATTTGCTGAATGTTACAATCGAATAATTTATGGAAGAAAGCACCAATTAAGTCTATATAGATCTCCAGAAAATAAAAATTCTATAATTACTAGTGATCCTACTAAATTTACTGCTAAGATAGTGATAAACAAGATGCAATGGATAATTCCTAAAATTATGCCTTCCTTAGAGATGCAAAACAAACTTCTGAATGTCTTTGAAAGTAATAAACTAATTCAAATGCCTTTTATATCTTGTCAACTTGAGAGTTATAATATCCCTAATGGCAACCGCGAATTTACTTGGAAACTTGGAACTAAATATGATAAAATAAAATACCTCATTATTTCTTTTCAGACTGCTAGAGATAACAATTATCTGAATGCTGCAAAGTTCGATAATTGTGGACTGGAAGAAATTTATGTTGAATTGAATAGTGAAAGATACCCATATGAATGCTTAAAATTCGACTTTGATAAATTTAATGCAGTTCAACAATACAATTTTGCTAAAGAATTCAGAAATAGTTATTATGAATCAACGAAGGATTACATTTTCATGGAAGAAGATGTTTATTATTACTATTATCCACTTCTAGTATTTGATTTATCTAAACAAAATGATAGAATTATTGCATCTCGACCAGATGTTACAATAAAGGCAAGTTTTAATAAAAATATTGCTCAAAGTACTAAATGTTACTGCCTTATTCTTTCAGAAAATATTGTTGAAGTCAAGGATAACCGGGTTAAGGTGGTTAGCATTTAAGAATTCAAATTTGTCTCACGAATCCAAGAATTAAATTTTTCTGGATATCCATACCACTTCACAAATACTTCTTTGATACCATCTCTAGTTCTTCTTTTCAATACTTCTTCAACTGTGTATTCCATACTCACATTATCGAATAGTGTTAGTTCTTCTTCATAAAACTTTCCTTTGATTTCTTCATCTCCAAGATCTTGGATCTCATAAGTCACAGGATTTCCTTCGTGGACTTTAGCAATCTTGAATTGTTCTGTGCTCCAATTAGGAATATATCCTTTTGAGAAGACAGATTTATACTTAGTGATTCGAACAATGTCTCCAATTTTGAGTTTAGGTTTTGAATTTTTATGAAATTTGCCAAATAAATTGATATAAACTTCTGAAGTACCTATTCTCTTTTTTAGAAGCTTCAATTGGAGTCATTTTAATACTTCTATGATAGTGATTATTGTAACCATCAACAAGATCATCAAGAATATCAGTCCATTGATGATTTCCATTGTGTGTAAACATTTTCCACATTTTCTCCTTTAAAGTTCTATTGAATATTTCAATTATGGATGCTTTCTTATCTGAATAAGTTTAAAAATGGTGAATGTCATATTTCTCAAAAAGTTTATTTATTTCTCGATTGTAATATTCCTTTCCATTATCAGTCTGAATTTTTTGCGGTTTTCTTCTATTTTTACCATTAAATATCTTCTCCATAACTTTTGAAGTTTCTTCACCTGTTTTATTTTTCAAAGGGAATACCCAAGCAAATTTTGAGAAACAATCAATTACAGTTAATAAATATTTATAACCTTCATTTTCATCAGCATAAGGAATCATTTCTACAAGATCCGACTGCCATTGTTCATCAATTTCATGAATATAGACTCTTTCAGTTTTGTAATTTTTGCGAGCTGGTTTGTGAAGAGTGTAAACATCTTGTTGGTTTAGGAATTCTTTAACTTCTTTTTGAGACTTGTTAGTTTTCCTAGCTAGCTCATTTATTCCACAAAAACCTGTTTTGGGATTGTAGTATGTTTCTTCGAGAAGTATTTTATCTTTCTCAGTAATTTCCTTACCTAAGTCTTCAATTCCCGAACCGTTTGTCTGTTTTGGAATCAGTTTACACTTTTTGGTGTTACAATATTCACACAATCCTTTTATCACTTTTTTGTTATTTTTAGTAAATTTTTCAAAAGTATCAATAGTATTTGTGTGTGTTTTACATTTGAAACAAAATATTAAATCCATTTATTCACACTGTAAACTTCCAATATATGTATTCCCTGAATGGCTGATTGTCATCTTATCGAAGGAAAAGGGAGATGAAAAAGCGGTTACACTTGCGAGAAAGTGGTCTCACTGAACAAAAGGTCTCTTTCAGCGGGATCGTAGCTCAATGGTAGAGCGTCCTCTTTAGAAGTGAAGTGACATAAGTTAATGCCTTTGGCCTGATAGCCATGTTTGGGGTTCATGGCTAGGTAAAATTAGTTCTTTTTCGGAAGAAGCCATACAATTTCACTGAACGTCCCCCATGTTACTAGCTGATAAAGTGGAAGATCGGGGTTCGAATCCCTGCGACTCCAGTTTGAAAGAAGTTTTGGTAAAAGACGTTTTGCTCACTTGCCATAAAAACTTGAAACAATGTTTGGCATAAAAGGTGTGATCACTTTCTCTTTCTCTTTTGAAATCATGCTTAGTGTGAAGAATTTTGCTATCAAAGCTCTTTTGTTGACATCACCTTCCTTTGATGTGTTGCATATAAAATGTGTCACCTTGCCATTAAAACTGCATTGCTTTAAAAGCGTGAGAAAGGTGTGGTTTCTTCATTTCCTTGCTTGCATTCCCCTCTTCAAGAGAACCATCTAACTCATAGATCTTAATTTTAATCCAATTTTTGACTTCTAAGATTCAGCTATTAGAAAGATTCTCGTCCTTCTCAGTTTTAAAAAAGAAAGATAGAAGATTCAGCTTGCAAGATTAACTATTTTTAGGCTTTTTTTCTGAATTATTCATCTTTTTTCAAGCTGAACTATTCCATATTTGAAATGCGGTAAATTTTATGATTTTCAACCTCTGACCTCTGCTTCGTGAACATCAATTACATCGGCTCTGTGTGGGTGATATCCGTCAGGGGATGGTTTTGACTTGCCTCGAAACATATGCGTCAGCCCCGAGACCTAATGAGACTTTACACCATCAGAGTGAGGGTCTGCCATACGCCTCGCATCCCACCGTGCTGTCCCATTTCCTCAAATCAGAAGAGATAGTTCTTTAGCTCAACAAATTTCTTATTTTTATTAGCGCCCACACAATCCAATACAAAACGCGTCTTGATTCTTTTAATTTGACTGTTAAACGCCTCGGTAAATTTGAGAGAGGCCCTGCAGAACTCTGATCACCCAAAAAAAGACAACTTTTCTCTCTCTCTCTCTCTCTTCGCTCTCTCTGCTCTCTATTCTACTCTAATCTCCTCTTTTTGATAAGCGATCTCAGCTCCGATAAGGCCGCCAGCAGTACTTATGACCGTCTCCCGGCCGAGCAGCCCCTCCGCTTTCTCTTTCTCTCCCTTTATCTCCCTTTTACTACGCAAACAGATTATTATAGCCTGTTCACTGAAAAGAGTCCTAAAAACCGTGAAAGTAGTGGGAAAATCTAGGATAATCCGACGTTTGTTGGACATCCTAGTTCTGCTTCTGCATTATCATTTCTATTACACTCCTAATGCTAGCATATCTCCTCCACTTTCTACAATAAATCCTAAAATATTGCTGCTATATTACCGATCCTTTCTCATTTCGCATGGATAGGACCGCGGATCTGGAAGAGCAGAACCTCAATCTTCCTACTCTATAACTGTTTTCCTTATCTTTATATCCCTCCAATTATTCAGATACTCTCACTTTTCAGCTTCTCTTGAAAGATGGCTCAACCTGTAAATTTCAATGAATCGAATGAGTTCTGTAGCCGTGTAGTCTATATAGACCTCAACCGATCCACTCTTCGAGACGATGAGGGCAATATTAGTATAATAGAAAATCCCGAACGAGGCAATATTCGGGCAAAACTCACCAAAGAGATGCAGAAACTAGGGTGGTACCCGGGAGAAGCTTCTACCTCATTTATCTTCTACAAAAGAGACGATGAAAATAGCGCTGAAGAAAATGTAAACGAAGCGATCAGGAGAACTAATGAAACGTACCGATATGCTCACTTCCAATTTGCTTTGCTGAAACCAATTCGTCTCTCCAATGTAGACGACGATGTTGATGGTCTTAAAAATCTATTCTCCAACTTTCCTGCTGATGCTGAAAATGAGAATTGAAAAATTTAGATCATCAGTGTTCAGAGCAATCTGATTCTTGTAATCCGAAGATCGAATATTTGTGTTAACTTTTATTGTAATATTTTCATTTTCTCCCAATTTAAGATAATCTGTTCCATTTTCACCATCAAAAATATAACTCACCATTTTATATTTTTGTTGTCAATTGTTCAAGTAAAATAAATATTTTATTTGAATCTCGTGTTTACTTAAAAATGGGCTGCTTTGAAAATAGCTGAATTTACGTCCCACAATTTATAAAGCTAGAAGTTCAAGATTTGTAAGACTTGGTAGATCTTTCTTCAGATTAGTCATTTATTACACTTAATTTTTATAATACCACTTCCCATTGAAAATCGACATCCATCGACATCCTTGAAATTTTAAAAAAGTATGAAAATGACAAATATAACATTTAAGCATGAAAATAGGAAATGAAAAATGAAACCGACATCCCGACCAAAAATGACAAAAAATTGGTTGAAAAAAGCTTGAAAATGGCCAAAAAGTGTAGAAATTGAAGAATGGGCAAAATGGGTAAGTGGTGCGCCAGACATATTTTGGTCATTTTTCAAAAATGACACATTTTGGGGGAATTAAGTATGATTTTCAATGAAAAAATGTTTTAAAAATGTTGAAAATCTGCAAAAATCGCATTTGGGCAAAAAGGTGCGCCAGAAACAACTTTTTCTATACTACTAATTTAAAATACTAGATCAATATTCACAAGGGAACATTTTATTTTGATCTTTTATTTGGCAAAAGAAACTTCTACAGTACTGAAATTCTAGTTTCTTCACGAAGAAATCGCCCTTTCAGTGCAAAATTCGGCAATTTTCAAATGTGATTTTCTACACTCATAGGGGTTTCAGAAATATGAAATTCGACATAGTTTTAACTAGAACACAAAAAAATTCGAATTCTGAGAGCTCCTAGGAGAGAAGAAAATCAGATTCAAAAATTGCCGATGTAGACAGACTTTGAAAATGGTGTTTGTAGGTTCCGAGAGGCTCTCTTTCCACCTGTATAGATGGTTTTTGCCAATTAATAGGTCAATTTAAAGGGTTCCCGATTCAGAAAAAACAATAGGTCGCTCACACAAAACACGATTTTGTTCATCGAACCAGATTGATGATTATATTGACTCTATATGGGCATGAAGATGGACAGACAGTGATCAATCAAAAACTATTCTTCGTCTTTTTCTCTATTGCAAAAATGATGACCGAAGAAAAGTATTTCGTTTCGTAAGAACACGAAGACTACAGAAGACGAGGAATTCATGTGAAAAAGTAATGAATGAAGTAATAGATTCTTGGAAAACGGCTACACATTTTCAAGTTTCTTACACAGTTCAGAAGAGACAACACAAAACAGTTTGGAATCCGAATGGCTTAATTATCATCTTATTACAGTATCACGTGATAAGAATAAGTCATAAAATTATGTGACTGAGTAGAAGATAGACTACGGTAACTACACACTTTAAGAACGGATGTTGCCTTTTGATCTGTTTATTTGTTTTTTGAAAGCGAATGTCTTTTATCATCCTTTGTGGGTACATCGAGGGCGGAGTCATAAATCAGTGTATATATAAATTACGATGATTCGGATGGTCGTGAATCAAAACACGATGATCCGGAAACTTTGTTTCCTTCTCCTAATTGTTCAAACATTAAGTTTCAATGTACTTGTATTGTCTCCAGCGTTTGGAGCTAGTCATATGAATTTTATGGCACATTTGGCTGATACACTAACTGAAGTTGGACATAATGTGGTTAGTTTTTAATCGAGAATACTACTTGCAAATTTTTTATTTCCAGACATTCTTGATTCCAGTGGCAGATGAAGCTCGAAAAGATCAATTGGGAGTAAAAATCACAAAGGATGTTGTGCTAGTTGAAGTGATTAAACTAACGAACCTTTTTATAGTTAAGTTTTTTTTAATTTTCAGCAAGACGAAATTATGTCAAGACAATCGTTAGTCGTGGATGATCACATGGACAGTATGTGGACACTAGACACACATGAACCCAATTTCGAAGAGGTAATCCATCTGGTTTTCTTATCAAATTTCCAATTATTGTAAAATTTTCAGATGTTCTCTTGGTTCCACAAATTAATGGAGTTGTCATGCGCCAATTTTATGAGAAACACGGAAGTTCTTAGTTTGATGAAGACGAAAAACTTTGATGTTGCTATTCTGGAACCACTCTCTGTTTGTGGTCTTGGATTCTTTAAAAAGTTGGGAATAGAAAAAACGATTCTTGCTTCTTCTTGTTCATTGTATGATTTTCTGTTGCCTGACATTGGAGAACCAGAAGAGCACAGCTATGTTCCTTGTGAGTTCAAAGTTTCGGACTCGATGCCTTCAATTTAAGACATTTTCAGCATTATCATCTCAAACTGGAGATCAAATGAATCTTTACGAGAGATACAAAAACTACAAATTTTCCAAGGAATGGAAGACGCAAATGGATAAACTGTTCGACCAGGAAACTGCAATCTATCGAAAATATCTTGGCAAGGACATTCCCGACTGGAGAGAACTACTTCCATCTGCTTCCCTATTCTTCACCAACTCCAATCCATATCTTGATTTTCCACGTCCAGTGATTCAGAAGACGATTCCAATTGGTGGAATATCAGTAAACATGAAGAAAATCAAATCTCAGAAACTCGACTCTGATTGGGATGAGATTTTGAACAGAAGAGATCATAATATGTTGGTATCATTCGGATCAATGGTCAAATCCGCTCAGATGCCAATTGAATGGAAAAACAACATTTTAAAAGTAATCGAGTCTGAGCCAAATGTCACTTTTATTTGGAAATACGAAACAAATGATACTGAATTCGCAAAAGGAATAGACAATGTCATATTCTCGAAATGGGTTCCTCAAACTGCTCTTTTGAATGACGATCGCCTGACTGCGTTCTTGACTCACGGAGGTCTCGGAAGTACAAACGAATTAGCCCATTGCGGAAAACCAGCCGTAATGGTTCCGATTTTTGGGGATCAAGTAAGAAATGCAAACATGCTTGCAAGACACAAAGGATCTATATTTGTATGGAAAAATGATTTGGCGGATTTCGACATTTTGAAACAAGCCGTCCATTCTATACTATACGATCCCAAGTATAAGAAAAACGCAATGCATCTTGCCGATATCCTTGAAAATCAACCTCATCAACCAAAGGATCTTGTTGTAAAACATACCGAGTTTTTGGCACAGTGAGTTACCGTAAAACCTGTAATAGAAGGGCCTTTTTTTCTTATTTCAGCTCCTATAAGAGATATCAAAAAAATTATTTCAGCTCCTATAAGAGATATCAAAAATGTGTCAACTGATAAAATGTAGAGGATATTATGGTAAACAATTTAACAGTTGACATATTTTCTACATCTATATCAGGAACCGAGATGAACTGGCTCAAAATTGAAAATTAGGGGCCCTTTTATTACAGGTTTTACGGTAAATATGTTGCAATTAACTCAATAATAATAATGTCTCTTTTCAGATACGGGCCTTTCCCAAAAATGGATCCGGTAGGCCGCAGTTTGGGTTTCATTGCGAGGAATTTTATTGATATCTATGCAGCTGCTATTATAACTTATTTGACTCTTGGTTATTCTTTTTATATTGTATTGAGGTTCTTAGCCTCGAAGTTTCCAGTGAGATTGGTTCGTAAAAACAAGAAAGATCTCTAGTTATTGAATATCTATGCCAGACTGTACGTTTTCTGTTATTTACGGGTATGATTGATGTAGAATTTTTTTAATGAAGGTTTTTCAATTTTTCCACAACTATTTTCAAACAGTTATTTCCGAAAAGATTTTCTGAAAATTTTCATTAATAGAAAGAACTAACAAAGGAACATGAACTGATAATTTTAAAGTCCGCCGCAACCAATGGGAACGCGCTCTGCCGCGACTGCGCCAAAAACGGGCGGGAACATGTTGGGGTTATGCATGATTTGTTTTTATGGGGTTATTCAGGGAGTCGGCAAAAAAGCATACTTGTAAAATTCCGGGCCGGCCCGCCAAAGCCCGGGCCTGAGGAAATTTTCAAGGCCCGGGGCCGGCCCGGAAGGCCCGGTAGCAAAAATTCTGTCATTTTGAGCCAAATTTTGAGCTCTCAATACAATTTTCTCCATTATTTTTTGTGTTTTTGGATTGTTTGTCTGTTTGATCAAAAAATATTTTTTAAAAACTCGAAAAAAATTTTTTGATCGAAAAAATCACATAAGGGTCCCCCTTATGTGTTTTTTAAAATTTTCAAAACTTGTGGAATGAAAACTCGGAGAGTGTTCCAATCTGGCTGAAAATTTGAGGAAAACTGGAGA